AGGGGATATATAAATGAATGTCCATTTTGTATCTGTGTATTCAAAATGGTTAGGATAGATATATAGTTACATTCCCTTAATGAATAGAGGGATTTGTTGTAATAGTGTTTGTAAATAGGATATCCGGTCTGCATCTTGTACAGCAAATAACCACTAGGAAGACAGTATGCAATGTGTTAATTGTTGAAACTGTCCTACCAGTTTGATTTGAAAATGTCTCATGGCTATTTTGTCAATAAAATTATGGAAAAAATAAAAGCAAAAAATAAAAATAAAATAAAGTTCAACATATCAAAAAAAAAAAAGAAAAGACAGCAGTGAAGGGCTATGCAATATTTAGCCATAGCTAGAACATAACACTGGAAAGCAGACACAATTAAAGAGATCGTCATATCAGTAGCAAAGTCTTTCCAGTATAATTGACCTAAAACCCTCCCTGAGGACAGCCACTCCTGCAAAAAAAAAAGAAACATGAGGAAACAAAGCAAAAAGTCTCAACTCTACAAAACCTGATTCATGGCGCATCAATGGGAGGAAATCAGAAACCAAACAGGCAAATTATAACAAATGATAAAAGAGGGGGCAAAAAAAGAGTAAGTCAATAAGGTACTTGGCAAGCTCAAAGATGACATACCTAAAGACATAATGGACTTAATGAACAAAATGATTAGGGTTATGGTTTGTGTCTGAATGTTCTCCCAAAGCCTCATGTCAGCATGTGTGTGTGTTGGAGGGGGAGAGGGGAGTCTGGCTTTTCAAGGTGGCTGAATTTAGAGTTTGTGACTGATTATTTATGGTCTAATACTAGGAATAAGAATGTGAGTGCAACACCCACTCTACAGTTGGTAGCCTGCACCAAATATAAGGGACAGAAAGAAGCTTGACTTGTCTGACACGCACAAGGGTCTGTGTTTAATCCCGGTTCCACAAAAATAAAATAAAAATTAAAAAAAAAAAAAAGAAAGAGGCTTGATCTCCCCTCTCCTCTCCTCTCTTTTTGCTTTTCGTATCTTCTACCACTATGAATGATTGCCCCTCTGTAATGTGTCACCCTGTATTACAGCCAACCAATCATGGATTGAAACTTCTACAAACTGTGAACTAAATAAACCTCTTCCCCCCTCCCCTTGACTTTGGGTATCAGGTATTTTGTCCCAGCAATAAATAAAGTAACCAAAAATGATTTTGGTACCAGAAGTGAGGTGATAGTTATTACTGTACCTGACCAAGTGATCCAAGAGCCTTTGGGAATGGCTTGTGAAATAAGTTTGAAAATGTTGGGAGAGGTTGGTTGAAAAATTAGAACTGAAATGTCCTAGACTGTTTTATATGAGAGACTCTAGTCAGAGCTCAGAAGACCAAAAGGCTGGCTGAAACCCTACTGGTAAAGAGCAGGCTTGTGAGGTTTCTGTTAAGAAGAAGGACTGTACTGGTTGTTGAACTCCAGATGTGTGTTATGGCTTGGCAAAACAGCTGCATTTTGCTCATGTCAAGAGAATTTGCCTGAAACTAAGCTTACAGGTAGCAAACTAATTAATCTGGCAAAAGAAATTTCAAAGAAATCTAATGTTGAGGTGATGGCCTGGCTACTGTCTGGGCTTTTTAGTCAGACTTATGTTGAGAATCACGAACAAAAAGCCCAGCATAATGATTTAAAATATTGTGCATTTGGCCAGAAAGAATGCTCCAGTAAAACTATTGACTACAGAATAAAGAGAATTATGGGGTTAGGAAGGCTTCCATCCAGATTTTAAAAGATCTGGGAGGTCAAGAGGGCAGTAAGTGAAACTATGAGTGTGAAGCAAAAGGTACAGTAGAAATGCCAGAAATTTGGCAAGGCCAGAAACGTGGATCATCTGAAGAAAATTGTAAGGAGAGAGCACAGCAGGCCCAAGAGAGAAGCTGGGTGAGCTACAGACACTAGGGCCACCGAAGCCCTTTGGAATTCACCTCAGATATTGCACATGGAACTATAGAACTTCATATCTGCCCTAATAGATTTTGGATTTGCTTTGGTCCTATCCCTTTGTATAACTGCTTTTAACTTTTGGAATGGAAATGTCTATCTTGTGCCACTGAATGGTGGAATTGTTTAACTTTCTTTTCATTTGTACAAAGGTTGCCAGCTAAGAGTTTGCCTTAAATCTCAGAGAAGACCTTGGGCTTCAACTTTTCAGCAACGCTGAAACTGTTAAATCTTTGGCAACTCTTAGAGATAGTTTAAATTGCTTTTGCATAAGGAAATATACATGAGTCTTTGGGGAAGAATGTTATGGTTTGCATCTAAATGTCCCCCCAAAGCCTCATGCTGTCATGAGGGGGGGGGCTGGCTTTTCAGAGGTGGGTGGATATGGTTTGTATTTGATTCACAGTCTAATACTGGGACTAAAGGTATGAGTGCTACATCTGCCTTAGGACACGTAGCCTGCATACAATACAAAGGACAGAAAGAGGCTTGCTCTCTCCTCCTCTCTTACAGTTTTTGGTATCTTCCACCATAATGAATGGATGCCTCTCTGCTATGTGCTACTCTGCCTTAAAGCCAACCAATCACGGACTGAAACTTCTACAAACTGTGAGCTAAATAAGCCTCTTCCCCCCCCCACACACACACCCCTTTTTAAGCTTTGGGTATCAGGTATTTTATCCCAGCAACAAGAAAAGTAGCCAAAGCCAGCTCAGCTAAACAAAACAACACAGATCAGGAATGAGCATGTTAGTAAATAAAGTTCACGAAAAGGTACCAAACAAATTGAGAAGACAAAATATTCTATTCAAAGTATCAGCATCAGAAATGCCCAGTGTGAAGACAGAGTGTCAGAACAAGATAGGACTGATGTAGTTAACCTTATACTCCAGTATCTTCAGAACAAGAAATCATAGAAAATATTCAATAGCTCCACGATGACACAAAAAAGACTAATATCATTTTAAAGGAAAAAATTGAAAAGCTCTTCCTCTAAAAACAAGAATAAAACAAGGAAATCCACTATCACCACTCTTGTTCAATATACTACTTTAAACTTTAGCCAAAGTAATAAGAGAAGAGAAAGAAATAAAACAGGTATGTATAAGAAAGGAGGACATCAAACTATCCTTATTTACAGATGACATCTTCCTTTAAATAGAAGACCCAAAAAATTTAACCAAAAGACTCCTAGAACTAATAAATTTATCATGGTTGCAAGATACAAAAAATTTTAAGAGATGTAGTAGTAATTTTAGAGTATAAACAGATCCTGAGACCAAAAGGTTTACAATTCACAGCGTTATAAAATTTTAACAATGTAATTCTAATATTTCCTTAATCTTATTTCTCCACAGATAAGTGGAATGGATGCATCTCCACGAAATATTTCTCCAGGACTTCAGAATGGAGAAAAGGGTTGGTCATTGACTTACTGATCATTTGACATCAGATTTAAAGAAAAGTTTTACGTATAAGTTGTTTTAAACTGTTAATTTTGAGTATTTTTTTTCTTGATGTAATTATTCCTTCTTGTAGAACATTTATAATACTATCAGCTTAAGGTGAACATGCAGTATATTTTAAGATTCAAAACATAAAAATCAATAGTATTTTTATACATTAATAATGAGCCCACCAAGAAAGAAAATAGGAAATTTACAGATAGCTTCTAGAAAAATTAAATGCCCTAAGAATTAACTTAACAAAAAGAAATGAAAGATCCTTATAATGAAAGTATAGTATTATGAAAAAGGAAATCAGGAGCCGGGGAGATGGCTCAGTGGAATAAGCGCTTCCCTGGCAAGTGCAAGGGCCTGAGTTCAATCCCCGATTCCGCAAAAAAAAAAAAAAAAAAAAAGAAAGAAAAAGGAAATCAAACAGAAAGTTAAAAAATGGAAAGATAAGGACCAGCAAGATAGCTCAGTGGAGTAAGCGCTTCCTTAGATAATTGCAGAGGCTAAGGTTCAATCCCTGGCACCACATGCTGTGCCAGCCGTGCCACTGGGCGCACTCAGCCGGTGATAGAGTTCGGGTGTGATGACACACACCTGTAATCCCAGCATTAAGGAGGCTGAAAACAGGAGGATCAGTACAAGTCTGAGCTGCGTAGTGAGACCCTGCACACACACACACACACACACACCAAAAAAAAGGAAAAATAGCCCCTGTCCCTGGACAGGCAGTACCAATATTGTGAAAATGTCCATACTTACAAAACTGATACATAGATTAAATCCAATCTCAATCAACATAAACATATACTGAACCAGAAAAGAAACCTGAGCAACAAGAGCAAAGCAGGAGCCACAGGTTATACTACAAAACCAGTGTAACAAAAATAGCATGAAAATGAACATACATACTGGCACAAAAATAAACATACAGGTCTATGGAACAAAACAGAGAATGCAGAAATAACTCTAGGCACAGTCAGCCATCTGATCTTTGATAAAGAGGCCAAAAACATACACTGGAGGAAAGATAGGCTCTCTTTATGTATTAAACTAAAATCAAAATGCAAAGCTCTACATAGTAAAATAGAAACAATCTGCTTTAAAATAGGTACAACTCCTGAAGATATAAGAAAAGCTGAGGACTTTCTGACTAGAAATGGACAAGAACTATTATGAAAAATCAACAAATGGTATCATATCAAATTATAAAGCTCCTGCACAGGAAAGGAAACAACAGAGTGAAGACAGAGAATCTACAAAATGGAAAAACATTCAGCTATACATCAAACAGTAAATACTCAGAATATAAAAAGAACTATAAAAACCTTAGACCTCCCCAAAATAGAAAACTAATCAAAAACCGGGCAACTGAAATGAATAGACACTTCTCAGAAGAAATACAAATGGCCAATAAATGCATAAAAAAATCTGGCTATTATAGAAAGTTTTTAAAAATTTAAGAGCAGAAATTAGAAGGAAAAAAAAAAAAAAGATTACCATCACACCAATGTAGTAGCTAAAAATTAAAAAGCAATTCCAATGCAACATCTTTCAGTCTTAAAGTGACTTCACTGTACCTTCAGAACCACTGGCTGTATCCAGCTCGGAGGTCCCTCCCCCTGGCTGCTCAGCCATCACTTCAGTTGGAGTAGGCAGCTGGAGATGGGTAGAACTGGTGGAACTCTGGCTGGACAGTGTTGTCAAAAAGCGATCCTCTAATGAAAGGTACAAACTTACATGAGTCAGGTAAAAACAGTAAGTCTGTTTTTACCTAGTATGAATGACTTTATATTCCAACTCATTTCTATTTCCTAAAACACAGAACTTTAGTTACTTATAAACTGTCTATATCAAGCAGTTCATGTCACAGAAAAAGACACAATTATATGACTTTATTATAATCAAATCTTGATGGTACTATCATAACTATAAACTAATTCTGACAGGTTAATTTAATACTGCTTTCAATAAACTTTAATATCTACCTAAACATTATTTGGTTTAACAGAGAATGAAATTAAGACACTATGGAAAAAAATGATATCCTTTTTCTGGCAAGGAAAAATTTAAGTTATAATTACTAAAGGGGAATATAAAGTTGAGCTCTCGCTCAAGTCTACATAAATTTTCCTATATAAAATTTGTACAATGGGGCCAGCAATACAGCTCAGTTAACTAAGCACTTGCTCAGGTAAGTGCAGGGGCCATGATTAGATGCCATCCACCACACACCACCCCAGCCCCACCCCTGGGTGTGCTGAGCCAGTGATAGAGTCTGGGCATGGTGGCACACACCTGTAATCCCAGAATTAGGAAGCACAAATCAAGAAAATCACTATGACTCCAAACTGCATAGTGAGACCCTGCACCAAAAAAAAACAAAACAAAAAAAACAAAAAAAACAAAAAAAAAAACTTGTACAATGACAAGGTGTTCAAAGAAATACTATGAAAGACATCTCAAAATGATTTCAGAGACACCAAAAATATAACTTAAGTAAGACTTTTGCAGTAAAATGTGGGACTTCATTTTGATAAGACAGAAAATTAATTTCCTTTTTTGTTTCTTGTCTCCTAACAGCAGCTTTCTCTATATTATATGTATTTCCATGTCCTAATTTATCTTCTTAAAATACACTGCATGATCACCTTAAGCTGACAGTGTTATAAATGTTCTACAAGAAGGAATAATTACATCAAGAAAAAAATGTTCAAAATTAGTTTAAAACAACTTATACAGTAAAAATTTTCTTTAAATCTGATGTCAAGTGATCAGTAAGTCAATGACCAACCCTTTTCTCCATTCTGAAGTCCTGGAGAAATATTTCGTGGTGATGCATCCATTCCACTTATCTGTGGAGAAATAAGATTAAGGAAATACTAGAGTTACATTTTTAAAATTGTTTAACCCTGTGAATCATAAACCTTTCGGTTTCAGGATATTTATACTCTAAAATTACCACTACCTCCCTTAATAACTTAAAATGGTTTTCCTCATCAGCAGAAGTGCATGCCTGGCAAGCTCTGCAAGGCTCTGAATTTGATCCCCAGTACCAAAAAATAAAGTTTTTAGCCTATTAGAAATATTTACCTGATTAGAAATTAAGCCTAAAAACATTTTAAAATATGCATCAATTCATTTAAAAATAACTCATTACATGTTAACATGAATACTGTCATCAATTATAGAAAAACATATCTATTTTCCAAAATTTATAATGAAATGGATAAGAATTAAATTGTTGTGCATTTTCATAAAATTCTTTAATGGTATAGATGATAGCTATCAATCTGGTAACTGCAATTAACTTGCTGTGATATAGCTGTAATTAAAATTCTGGCTTCATACAGATAGTTAGGAAAACAGAAAAATCTGCAGAATCCCCCCAAAAAGAATGAGTCCTCAGGAGCTCTTGAACTACACTTTGAGGGTATCATTCTAAACAGTAAGCTCATTTCTTGGCATAAAAGCATTTATGAATAAATACGATTACCCAATGAAGGCAGATCTTTTACTATCACTGAACCTTCTGTCCTATCATCTATGCATAAGATGTAGAGAATGACTCTCAACTCCATATAAAATTTTTTCAAGGTCATTTATTAGGTCACTGATTAAAGGTCACCACATCACAGAAACATCCCTGGCCATCCTACGTAAAATAACCCACCACCACCCTCTCATTCTTAACAAACTATCTCCCATATCTTTTTTCTTTGTATCCTATATTTGTTAATAGGTTCAAATGTTTATGATCAGGCTGTTCCTCACTAAACCAATGTTTAATGAAAACAGTAACTATAGTCTTTGTTTACAACTTCATGTCTATAACCTAGAGAAGTGCCCAACACATAATTGGCACTCAAGAATTATTTACCAAGTGAATAAATACAAACGTGGTACAACAAAGGTTCAAATCAATTATCAATCTTTCATAAAGATGAGCAACAATGAGTCATCTCATATTTTCCATTCTGTTTCTAAATGGTATACTCTAAAGGTTTCATACCATTAGCTCTGTAGTATCTTCAGTGGGCAAATGGAAAGACCACTGGTCATCTGTGCTAGTCATCCACAGACTTGGATTAGTTGACAAATGCTAACATACAGCTTAACCCTATTCCTATTCTCACCTAAACTTAAAGGAAATATGATTTAAGGAAACAGAGGAAAGGGAAGAGTCACTATCAATTACTAAATAACCAAACATTCAAAGCACTGGGATCCATCATCCAGTGAAAATATTTTACAAGTGCACATTGTAAAAACAAAAATTAAAATTAAAAAATAAAACAAATATACACTGTACAAAAAAGAAAATACTTTCTCAAAAGCCTTTGTAATGTAACTTAAGGCCCTTACATTGATATCAAATTATGCTGAATCTGGCCACCATGACTGCACCCTAAAATGGCTCCCAGCCCTTGGTATAAACACACCTTCTCCCACACAAACACTAATGTAGGTATTGCTGTGAATGGTTTTGTAGATGTAATTATGGTCCTAGGTCAGCTGACATCAAAGTTGGAAAAAAAAAAAATCCAGAAGGTATAAAAATTGAGGTGGCCCTGACACAAAACCTGTGTCTGTAAATCAAAGGAAGTGATCTTAACCACAAGAGGGATTTGGCCATTGTTCCTTGTTTTGAAGATGGAGAGGACTGTGCAGCAAGGCACAGTGTCTTACGAATTAGGAAGAACCTATGGTCTACACAAGAAGTCAGTCCTGGCACTACTAGGAAATGAATTCTGTCAATCACTCTGGAAGAAGACAGTAAATCTCCAATAACACAGAAGCTCTGGCTAAATCCTTGATTTCAGCTCTTAGAGATTCTGAGCAAAGAACCCAGCCATACATTTCAGATCTCCACCTCACAGAAACTGAAATAACAACTTAATGTTTCTGGACAGTGTGTTAGACATTTTTAATCTGTTACTCAGCAAGAGGAAACCAGTGCAATTGGAAAAGAACAATTAGGCCAACTTCCCTCATTCAGACACCTTAATAAGACCTTCTTCTTATGTAAGCACAAAGATCACCCAAAATTGCACAGTAAGACACATGAGGACTCTGCTGCACACTCTGAGCCTCACATCTTGGCATCACCATGACAGTTCCTTACTGATGCCACAGGGAGCAGCTCTTTGGTACTGCAAATGAATTGATTACAACACATCATTTTATTTCAATGTAGCATATAAAAGCAATCTAGTCATATCTGCTTGAAACTTCACAATTTCAAGATGGAAAACTCTATTCACTACTAACAAATCACCTATTAAACTAACACTAGTGTTACAAATGGAGCTAACTGTATTTCTATCAATGGGCCAGACACTATGCCGTTTTATTACCTTACTTTCTTCTCCTTGTCTCAATCTTCCAGGACTTGGAGGAACTGAAGGCCGCTTTTTGCCTTTTTCCTGCTGGAATAGTTCCTGCAACCTACAACCCAAGGCACAAAAAATGATGCCTATAAATGTTTTCTTTATAACTGTGAAAACACCAGAATTAAATTTTCTTATTTGGATACATTTTAAATGTTGTATATAACTAGGACCAAGTCCTTGTCACATCTAATCAACCAATCAAGAGCTGTTACTGATGGAAATATAATGTTAAAAGAATAGTAAGTTATTATCAAGCTATTTCTAAAAATAAATATTTTGTTGAAAAATAAAAAAAATTAAATTAAATTAAATTAAAAAATAAAAAAATAAAGAGTATCAAAAAATAAAAAATAAAAAAAAAATAAAAATAAATATTTAAATTATATAATGTAAACAAATTCCTGCTTAACCAAACTAATTGCCAGTCATGGCTTACTACTGCAGTTAAATTCCATTCAGCACCACACAAATTTGAAACAGTGCTGAAAAGCTATCCCACTTGGACTTTCATATCTTCACAATCTAAAAATCAGCACATATATTTCAAATGATAAAGAGGGGAAAGTGACAAAAAGAACCTCTTTATAACTTGAGAATAAAATGAAACATCTATAATAAATTTTGGCTTAAAAATACCAGAACATAAGGGGCCAGAATATAGCTCAGTGGCATAAGCAGCCTGGCAAGCACAAAGTCCTGAGTTCAATCCCCCGTACCACAAAGCAAATTTGGCACTAATAATAAGAAAAGAAAACAAACTGTAAAGTCACACCTGTTATTCCATGCTTGCAGCACTTCACAAAGACTTTGTTTCTTGGCAATGAGTGACTCAAAAATAGACTGCAACTGCTGAGGGGTATCTACAGAGGATGACATGAGCCTTGCCTGCATCTTTTCAATCCAGTTCTTAAACTCAACTTCTTCCATCTAAAAGGCAAAAGACAAAATTTCAGTACACTGAGACATTACATAAATATACCCTAAAAGAAACTTCTAAGTTAACTTCAGAATTTCTACCAAAGAAATGAGTTACCTCTTTCTGTGCAAAGATATCCTCCATTTTTTCCTCTCTGGTTTTGCTAAATGTATCAGTCTTCAAAGATGCAAGTCTTTCATCAACAGCTAGATACACCTGTGAAACTCTAAGAAAATAGAACATCTTTAGAGAAGGTAAAATCCAATTTTATTTTATATAAATAAGGGAAAAAAGGCATTATAAACAAAACTATAACAAATATATTCTAATTTAAATCACAACTTTTAATACTTCAAAACTTTAATAGCAGTTTATGTTTGAAATTCTGACCTTAATACGCTATTTTTGTCTACATTTCTCGTTCTTTTCATACAAAACATATACACAATATAGTTAGCAGAAATAAGCTATTTACTTTTTCAAAGAACATTAAGTGAACAAATGACACTTTAATATCTATAGGTAACAGACATCACTAAACAAAAATGGATGATCAGAGAAACTTAAACTTACTTTTGAAAGAAATCTTTGAGGTCCTGAAGAAGAGATACTTTCAGGGGGGTCTGCTGTTTAATGAATATTTTGGGAAGTGGAACACATACTTCAAGAAGCCGAATGGAAGAATAACTAAGAAGAAAATATAAATGATAATAGAGAAATGAGAAACTATTTTAAAACCTTCAGTGAAGCTATATTCAGATTGTCAAATAAAATCTATGATGTATATGAAAAAAAATAAAGTTTCCATAAACTTTATGCATTTTAAAATAATCCTAAGAATAGTGAAAGTAACTTTTTAAAAAAATTTGTATGTATTTGGTACAGGGTCTTGCTATGCAGCTCAGACTCACAGCTATCCTCCTATTTCAGCCTCCCCAGCACTACGATTACAGGCATGTGCTACCACACTCAGTTTTGGTGGCCAGCTTGGCACAGGGCTGGCATAGCCCCTGGTACCAGGGATCGAACCTGGTCCTTGTGCTTGTCAGGCAGGCACTTAGACTGCTGAGCTATCTCCCTGGCCCCTGAAGGTAACTTTCAATCATTGCAAGTAACTTCTCCGATTTTGGAGGGATTTATTAGTACTCTGATGTCAACATGTATCCTTTAACACGATCCTCATCTGCCATGAAAGTAAAAATGAATGAACTTTCTGAGTAAGGAAAGGGACTCCTTCCTACATGTAGCTCACACAGAAATTCACTACCTTACCAAGTCCTGAGGAGTCTTCATATGTTTCAACTTCCTCTCTACGTTACTGACTAGTAAATGCTAGTCATAGATAACCCCACCTATGCCCTAGATTCAAAAAGCTATTCCTTAAGAAAATAAGTTCTAATTAGCAAGTGTTTCCTGAGAGTCTATTATGTGGCAGGCACAGTTTTAGGCAATGAATACAGCACTAAAACCAGGGCCAAAACTCCTGTCCTTGTGATTTCAGAAATAATAATATTGGGTAACAAAACAAATTCACATTCAAAACATACTTTATATGGTCTAAGTGCTATGGAGAAAAAGCAAGAGAGGCAAGTAGGGGCCCAGGAGATAAGCTAAGTGCAAAGACTGGGGTTCGATCCCCAGCACCGCATGCTGTGCCGATCGCACTCCTGGCTCACCAAGCTGGCCAAGGAAACCGGGTGTGATGGCACATGACTCTAATTCCAGTGCTGAGAAGGCTGACACAGGAGAATCACTACAAGCCTGAGAAAGACCCTGTACCAAATACATAAATAAAAATTAAAAAGAGAGAGAGAGGCAAGTAGTGCTAAGCCTAAGAGAGTGTTGGGGCAGGTAAAATGTGAGCAAAGTCCCACAGGAAGCAAAGAGCAGAGAACAAGCAGTTCAAAGAAGAACCAGCCGACAGTGCCAAAGCAGGAACCTACCTGACATAGCTGAGGTCCAGCTGCAGACCCAGCAAGGCTGCAGCGGGGCAAGCAAAGGAGAATAGTAAGAGGTAAGAACAGGAAGCGCAGGGCAGCCCTAGTGCGTGGGTGCTTAGAGGCTAGGAAAAGGACTCTGGCTTTCACTCAGTGAGAAGCAGATATCCTTCAGAGAATCTACAGACACTGAGTGACCTTTCTTTGCAGTTTCACTCTGACTGCCGTGCTAAGCACAGGTAGCAGAGGTAAGCAAATGGACACTAGCTGAGGCTACTGCAGTGACACAGGGGAAAGAAATGGGTTTTGCCCATAGGCTAATGCTGAGGGCTGAGTAGTGTTCAAATTCTGCCCATGTTCTAAAGAAGGAGCCTGGAGCATTCTCAAATTATTTATTCGATATCAGAATGGCAACTATTTTTTGAACTTGTAATTTTAGTTTTATCAGAAGACCCTAATTATTTTTATGGCAATTAATGCCTTGGCAAAAATTCTGACAGGTTTTAAGATGTCAAAATGATTAAGACTTAAGCTAAGAACAGAAGCTCAACCAGCATTCAAACTGTGACTCTACCACTAGCAAGCTCTCTAAGTAAACTCACAGTATCACCCTTACTTAGAAAGTCTATAAAATATCTAAACGAGGACAACAGTAATAACTGTTTCTCAGAGTAGAGAGTAAGAAACACTACAAGCTCTTAGCAGATTTTGCCCTTGCACATGCACATTTGTAGGAGTAATATAAGACTGACAAGAGCTCACAAGTTAATTTCATCTAGACACAGTAAACACATTACAAAGCTTCAAAGAACAGCATCCTTTGCGTGCCTTACCTGAAAGAGGCCACCATCTGGTTATAGGAGAAATACTGGTGATAATCATGGTGGATGGAGTGACCACATGGCTCGGCATTGGCCCTCCGTGTGTACTGATGCCCATAAAACCTCAGTTCGAGATATTTTGCAAATGACATAGACCAGGATTCATTGGAAAGAGCAACAACAGGTGTTACCTGGAATTCAACAAAATTTATCTGATCACATACCATTTTTAACGCATTTTCTAATCCAAACTCAAACTGATGGCAGTAAACAAAAAAAAAAAAAAAAGCAAAAAGGCCCAAGGTACGTGGTGCTGGGGGTAGTGAGGGAGAGCAATATTACTAAATTCTACCACTCACATCAAAATACCTGCAAATATTTACTTTCTATTTAGAAATACACATGTGGCACATGCATGCATGCACACACACAAAGTCATTTGTAAACAAAATTATTTTCTAGTTAGCTTTGTAAACTTTTATTCTTTACATATCAAATATATCATGAACATTTTCCCACACAAAATATTCTTCACAGCTTTTTAAATGGCTGCTGGTCCCTGGCAAGCACAAGGGCCTTAGTTTAATAATCCCTGTTCCACCAAAAAAAATGGCTGCTGGACATCCTCTATGTGGCCATATATTTACCAACTTCTTACTGATGTCTCCTTAAGAAAATATAAATTTTTCCTTATGTGGATGATGTGCTGATGAACATCCTTATATACTTATACTTAGAAAACAGCCATAATTATTTTCTTAGAGTAAATGAATAAAAGCTGAAATTGGCTAATCAAATAGCATGAACATATATATGGTCTCGAATACTAACACACCGTCTTCTAAACAGGTATGCTCGAGCATTTCTATACGAACTCCATCAACAGTACTTAAGAATGTCAATTTCTCCACTTTCTTAACAATCCTGAAAACATGAAATATGCTTAAAAATGTATTTTAAGACATTAGTAACATTTAATTCCGTTCATATTTTGACTACTAATAAATATGTACATTTACTGGCCAATGTATTGTTTTATTCTGCCTTTTATCCAATTTTTCTATTATTATACCATGTTTTATAGAAATGTAACATTAAGTATAAGGCATCTGTTTCATCATACAACTGTAACTTTTCTTTCAAAAGAAGTTCTTTTGTAAGAAAATCTTTTCCTTTCTAGTATTCCTCAAAGCAGGTTTTGTTTTAAAACTAAGGTGCATACACAAAACCATGTAAGCCATAAAGATCAATCTACAAAGTTTACAACAAATGCTACTAGCTGTTTAAGGGAAACTAAAGGCCTATAAAAAATAAGAATGAAACACTGATGATGGTTAGAAATGACTTCAGGTTGGTATGTTTGGGACTTCAGGAGGACCTAACTTTGCCTTTGCCATTCTCAACTACTAATGTTAATACAAATCATAATATGATCCCATCTGTAATTCTCATACATGCCTTTGAAAAGCACAATAAAAATGCCAAGACAATGAACTTGGTACATATTGCAATGTGGATAAAGTACCTATTAAAAATATAGTACTGGCACATTGTTCTAAAGTAATCAAAGAAAGGCATATAGAAAAAATATATGCCTTTTTTTTCTCAAAAATGTACATGAAGGGCCAGGGAGATGGCTCAGTGGAATAAGAGCTTCCCTGGCAAGCGTAAGGGCCTGAGTTCAATCCCCGGTTCCGCAAAAAAAAAAAAATATGTACATAAAAACCAGTAAAAATTGTCTTCTATTATATCTCTTCAGAAAAAAATCTTGATACAGTCTCAAATCTATTATGCAAATACCCTAATACACAGTAATTATTGCTTGGTGTGTATGTCTCCCTCCCCTAGAGGGCAGAAGCCAGTCTTCTTCTGTTTTCATTCCTAGAGCCTAGCACAGTTACCTAGCATATACAGCTAAATAAATTAGGTATTTGCTAAATGAATAAAGAAATATAATTAAGTACTGTCTCAATATCAGCATATTATAATGGACAAGGGTCTTACTGTTTTTCATGGCTGATATGGTCCTCAAGTGAAATTAGAAAAAAATTAAATATTACACTGGACATACAATCCAGGAAGGTAAATAAAAATACAATCATAAATAACAAATTCCAAAATAATACAGGCTACCTAGCCCCTAAAAGGAGCTATATAAATAAATAAATAAATTTTATTTGCAATATTATGCCCTGTTACAGGATATAATTTACCTGTTTGCAGATTCTGCACCAGGAATATGTGAGGATAGTGTGTTGATATCCAGGTACTGGAGAATCCAACTCCTTCAGAATGATCTGCACACAGCCTTGGCCATGGACAAAGCGACGAATGTGATGCACCATGGGGGTATCGCAGAACATGCTAGGACACTGATAAGAAGGCCTTTGACAAACAAGAGAGCTCTTCTCACATTAAGTATGAAGCACAGAAGCATGAAGAATGAACACAGTGGTACCTTGGTGCATGAATTTGATTCTTTCCATAATTCTGATCATAAGCCAAATTGAATGAGAACCAAATCAAATTTAATCATTATGTTTAACACTGACATTATGGGAAAATTTGATTTAGTTCTCATCCATTTTGTTTGTAATCAGAATTGTGAAGAGAACTGAGTTCATGAACTAAGATAACACTGGGCTACTCAGAACGACTGTCAAAGAAGTACAATGATGACTGGTGGGCAGTCTATACCGGATCTTCTGCTGCTGTTCTGAGCTACACAAGAACATCATGTCTCCAGCTACAGCATGATGATCATGTCCAACTGTTAAGTGCCTTCTATTAACAAATTTTAAAACATGTCATGTTACTTACTAAATCCTTTTTAGAAATTGCCATTTCCTATTAAGGAAAGTGATAAAGATTAAATTACTTGTTCTTTGCTTTGTGAGTGACAGCACTAAGATTTAAACTGAGGTCTAGCTGATTTAAATCATAAAAACAGACAATATGAAATAGTCTTAGAAATGACAAGTAAGGAGGTGGGCAAATTTATGAAGAATGTACCAGATTAAACATCTCAAATTGAGCATGAAATAGATTACTTCTTTGTAAAGTATATTCTGATAGTTGATATAAAAGTAAGAACCACACAACCATATCTGACATACAACTGATGTTTACATATTAAGTTGAAACTCCAGACTTCAAAATCGTAATGGAAGATGAAGAAAATTAATTCTTACCTGAAACAGTATCTTTCTAAAAATATTCCTAATGTAAGATCATTCTTCCCATAAAATTCCATTGTTACAATCCTAAAAGAAGAGATCACTACTTAAAACATACTATATATAAGAATTACCACTCAGCAAAAATCCCTTCATGGGCTCACACACTCTGGTTATGAAATGCACTTATCATGAAGCATTAAAGCACACAATACTTATTTCAGAATCGGTTCTGCATCATCTTGTAAACCAAGCTTAGATGAACTACACTGTGTAGCACCTCTTTCTCTTCCAGGCCATTAGCATCTTATGAACTATTTGATGAGGCTGATACACTATAATAGTAACAGGGTACAGCTTATCTGCATTATGAATAAGTACAAGTTCCCTCAGAATGCCTTAAGGCCATCAGGATATAAAAAGACTCCTATTTCCTGCTGTTTAGCCCAGACCTCTACATGGTATAGAGAAAAGTCATTTTTATTCTTGCTAATGAGCCAATTCCTAATTTTGTATCTAACTTACAAATACCCAAGGGGCTTGCGGGTTAGCTCAGTTGTTTAAGCACCTGCTTCAGCAAACCCAGTCAGGCGCAGGGGACTGCAGTTCAATTCTCAGCTCCATGTGCCTTACCCACCCTTAAGACAGCCTGAGCCAGCCAAAAAAAAAAAAAAAACCCAAAATAAGAAAGTTTGGTTACATACATCTTGAAATGTGTATCTACTCAAGCTTTGCCCTAAGGAGTGCATAAATTCCCAAAGAAAATCTGTATGGGTTACCCCAGCCCTAGACTTATTTGCTGAGCTATGTAACTTCTAAGAATCCCTGATCTCACTGCTGAAATAAGTGCTCTGTCACAGAAACAGCACTATAAAAAGAGTAATCAAAAAAATAAATAAATAAATTAAATTAAATTAAATTAAATTAAATTAAATTAAAAAAAGAGTAATCATGTTCTAAATTGTGTGTGTCTGTATGATGCTGGAGACTGAACTCGGGTCTATCAAGAACTAAGCACACACTCTCGCACTAAGTTACATACATCCCTGCCTCTCCATAATACTTTCTAAAAGTACTACATAATAATAGAAAGCAACATAAGATTTTTCTATCATTTGGAGTAGTAATTTGTAACGCTACAAAATGCATTTAAATGTATACCAATCAAATTAACCACTTACTAGTCCAATTATCTAAATACAGAATAACCAAAAATTACATGCTTTTGTTAATTTTTTTAATATAAAAGGAAATGTAAAAATTACAACTTTATCAAATTTACTATATATAAAGAATTGACTGGTTGAAATGACACCTGGCAGAGCAATGCTCAGGACAGTCAGTACATAAACAAGCACACTGCCTAAGTTAGGCTGGGTTAAACTGTTAAGTAGTTCAAATTAAATTCTGAAGTAAGGTCCATTAACAATGCAAAAGGCTGAATGTAGCTCAGTGGTAGAGCACACGCTTAGTCTGAGCAACAGTTCCATCCCCAGCATTGAATGTCATAGGTAAAAAGCTGTTTTTAGAAAAACGATGTCATCAGGAAAACCTAGCAAAACTGTACGTGCTACAATCATAATACTCATAAACCAGATTTTTTTTTTAAATATATTTAGTACAAGGTTTCCAGGGTCTCACTACGAAGATCGGACTCGTAGTGATTCCCATTTTCAGACTCCCAAGCGCTGGGATTACAGGCGCGCACCACCATACTCAGTCTCCATCGCTATCTCAGCATGCCCCAGGGCCGGCACAATAAACCAGCTTTTGTATGTCAATTTTCATATGTCTGTGATACACAGTTGTAACAATCTTGGGAAATGGTACATACTCATAAAATATCTTGATGGCTTTTATTTCCCCTTCCTCCTGACCCTTTTTCCAGATCCTCTTCCTATTCAGTCTACCTCCCTATTTCTTATAATCTCTTTCATTTTGGCTCTTTATTTATATTTTGTATTCCTCATACAAGAGAACATATGCGATATATTAGCCTTCTGTATCAAGATTTATTTTGCTAAGCATTATAATCCTTTTTTTCTGTATTTAGTACAGGGTCTCACTACACAGCTCAGACTCAATAGGGCCTCCGCAGCACTGGGATTACAGGTGTGCACCACCACGCCCGGTCTCAGTGGCCAGGTCAGCACACCCAGGGGCAGGCCTGGCACAGCACATGGAGCCAGGGATTGAACCCTGGTCCCTGCACTTATCTAAGCAGGCACTTAGTCTGTTGAGCTGTCTCACCAGCCCTATAATTCATCATTTTTACAAATGACTTAAATGTATTCTTCTTTATGGCTGAGGAATACCCCACTGGTACATGTACATTCCCTTATCTATTCTTTATCGCTACAGGGATTTTCATAAATTAACTATTGGGAATTTTGCTGCTATAAACATGGATATGTATGCATAACTGTAACATGAAAACTTTAACTCTTTCAGGAAAAAAACAGAAAAGGCATAGTGGCTGAGTCAAATGGAATTTATATTTTTGCTTTTTTGAGGAATCACCCTATTGATTCCCACAGTGGCTATAGTTTATTTTTTTTTTTATTTTTTATTGTTTAGTGGCTATAGTTTATATCCAACCAACAATGTAAAAGGTTCCTTTTTCTCCTAACCTTTCCAGCATTTGTTTTATATGTCCTTAATGATTATCATTTTTATTAGAGCAAGACTGAATCCTAGTGCTGTTTTGATATATAATTCTCTAAAAAAGATACAGAACATTTTTAAATGCACTTATTAGTAATCTGAACCTCTAGTGAGAAGTGTCTATTCATTTCAATTGACCATTTTTTATTGGGTCTTGTTTTGGGAGTTGGTACTGGAAATAGATCGGAGGACCTCATATTAGTCAGGCAGGCACTGTGCCACTGAACTCTATTCCCCACCCCTGGGTCTTTTATTTTGCAAAGCATCTAATTTTTTTGAGTTCTTTGTTCTTCTAAGTACTAGTTTTCTGTTCAAGAAGTAGCTGACCAAACGAAAAAATTCCCATTCTATAGGTTTTCTTTTATTCTGTTGGTTATAATTCTTTTCATTGATTCTTACTATTATTTCTTGTGCTACTGGGGTTCTGTTCAGAAAGTCCTTGTGGGGCCAGCCAGATAGCTCAGCAAATTAAAGCGTCTGCTTAGGCAGAGCACAGCAGCAGGTGTGCAGTGCCAGCCCCACCCCCAGGGCGTGCTGAGCCTGCGATTGAAACCGGGCTGTGGTGGTGCATGCCTGTTCTTCCCAGTGCGTGGGAAGCTGAAAACAGAAGAATCACTGTGAGTCTGATCTATGTAGTGAGACCCTGCAGACCCTGTACACCCTGCCCTAAATACATTTTTTAAAAAAGTCCTTGTGCATTAATGTCTTCAAGAGTTACATATTTTATCTTCCAGATGCAGTGTTCATGTTATTTCTAGACCTTTAGTCCATGTTTTTTTTAATTTTAGTAAAGAGGAAGAGATATGCATCTGGATTCATTCTTCTGCACCTGAAGAAATAGTTTTCTCCACAGGATTTGTTAAAGAGGCTATCTTTTATCCAGCATTCTGCTTTTGGCACCTTTGTCAAGAGCCAGATGGTTGAATGGGCATGGAGCTTTTTCTACATTCTCCATTCTATTGTAACCGGTCAACACATTTGAGTGTTAGGTTCGGTGGGCATTGACTGCAAGAGTCTGGCTGCCACCACTGTATTCAGCTAATTCCTTCAGAGGTTCAATGTTTTCTCAAGATGTATGTTCACCAGACCTGAGCTGTCAGTCGTGCCAGGACAAATGTTCTTTGTCTAAACACTTCTGGCCATGGAATTCATCATGTGAGCTTCTTCTTCAGGTTGCCTTCCTGTGTTGTTTTTTTCCTTTTACACCCTTAGCCTCACCCAAACCATTTGTGAGTATGTGAGGGGTGTCTCATGAGCCCTTCTACATCATTTTTACAAATAAAAATTCCTATTATCTCTCCTATCATTTTCACCATTAAATTCTAAATTTCCTATTTACTTTCTAAGTCTAAAATTCTATCAATTCATATTTGTCCAGCAGTATGCCCTGTTTTTAAAAACAGATTCTAATGGCTGCATTTTCTTTTTTATTTAAATTTACTAGAAATCGGTTCACAAGTACAATAGTGTAGAGAAAGAAAAATCCTACCAAGGACTGACACAGGCACTGGGAGCATTGCTGGACTGGGTGGAAGAGCTGCTGAAGAGCACACACAGCCTCTGGTGGTTGGCAGGATTCAGACAGTCCACCTGAAGGAGAAGGGACACATGAATACCTAGACTGCCAACATACAAATCCACTGCATGCTTCTAACATGTTTCACTCTATTGGTACAGCCTCCTACCATCACAGGCAGGACTTCTGGTGAAGATTAAGACTACAACAAACTAAACATAAAAAAAGGAAGTTAGTTTTCAAAGAAAAAAAACTCTCAAATGTCAAAGTTAAATGTAAAAAAAAATGGTCCTAGTTCAGTGGTATAGTGTTGAGTGTTGCCTAGCATATCTGAGGTCCTAGGTTCAATCCTTAATAGCTCGTTTTCTTACATTAAATATTGTTCACTTTTTTAAAAAATTGTCTTAAATTATTTTGGAAGAAAAACAACTAAATTATCCTCATGAAACAGTATGATACAATAGCTGCATACAACATCAATCTGAAATCAAAATTCTAAGATATGTATTTAGCTTTGCTTTCCACCTAAGTTTGATCACTAGGTAACACCAGATCTCAGTTAAAATCCATACATTAGTACATGAAGTTTATGAAACATAAGAAGCCTCTCTGATGCCACACCACCTCCCAATATGACTAGTTTGTATGATCAACAAATATTATTTTCTTTTTGCTAGCTCTCACATAATAGCATCCACATAAGTATACTCGGGTCAGGGATTTAGCTCAGTGGTGAAGCACCTGCCTGGAAAGCATGAGTTCAATTCCTACTACCAAAAAAGATAAGTATACTCTGTTAACTCTGGATTTGTAAAAATGGAATGACAGTGCATGTATTAATACATATCCTATTTTTAACATTTAAAATACATCCTGACCTTTGCATCAGTCATGAAATGAGATCCAACTCATCTTTTCTATAGCAAACAACTAGACACAACGCATCTTCATGCAGGTGTTCCTATAAAATGTAAACACCTTGTACAAACATGTTTAATTGTCTTAATTCTCAAGGAATGCATTCAAGTAGTTCTCAAAGGCATGAAAATATATGTAGAAACTGAGAGATTTCCCTATCATTTTCTATAAATTTCTACAAATGTATATAAAATTTAGGAAAGACATTTTTGCACACCCTCATTAACCACAACTCTTGCCAGTCTTACAAATGCAAAAATAATATTTCTTAGGGTACCAATGAAACTATCTTTTTGCTTTTAAATAATATTTTCCCATCTATGGGGAAATTTCTCCATTAGTTTTATTAATACATTATCAATAATGTAAATAAATCTTCAGGCGTGAGCCTCTACACCCAGCAAAGTACCCTTATTCCTAACAAGACCACTGCCATAGTTACACAATGTCTGTAGTGTTTTTCTTTTGTTTAAAAATTTAATACGTAAATCTAACTTTTTAAAACCACACACATGGCCTACAAAAAGATGCTGCCATCTCTCACTTCCTGTCACTGCCTTCAAAAGTATCAAGGATACATTGAAACTCATCCAAACATCTACATGATACCAATGGAAACTTCAACAATCATGTCCTCTTATAGCAGGGCTCCTTCTACCTCACTGTGAGCTCATCTTACACCCCAAAACCCAGTGTCACTACTTTACAGCCCTATCTGAAGCAGTCAAATATATAAGCCAGGAGACTCAAGAGCAAAAAATGGCTCAGAAGAAGGAATATCTAATAAATATTTGTGCAACTTCGCATACTGATTTTTTTTCTTTTTTACCACATTAACAGAGATTTTCAGACATTCTCACTTCACAAGGAAAATGAGAGTGGTTTTCTAGGCTTACCTTCGTGGACCATGCTCCATCGCTGGGAATCAACCCTCTCTCTTCATCAGCATCCGTTCTGCTTCCTGCTTTGCCACTTGCAGTATTCAATGGATCCTTTGAGTGAGCAAATGGATCTGAATATCTGGACTGAATTCTTCCTCCTCGGGCTCTATAATCCGCCAGCATTCTGCCCAAGCTCTGGCTGTCCCCCAGAGGCTCGGCAATCCTAGTGCTAACTAGCTCATGTGAGGGTAGGACTTCAATAGACTTGGCCTGAATACTTCCATTCATACCCTGAAGTCCAGAGAGATCCTTAAGCAGCTGCTTCTTCCTCCTGCTCTCCATTTCTCTGAACTCTTTATTAAGGAGAGGAGACCAGTAGATCTGCTCTGGAAAATAGTCTCGCGTAGAGCACCTCATCCCATTTTCAGTTAAGAGGAAAGGTTCCCGGAATGTGATTATTGGAGAGATGCAGAGGATCACATCTTTTAATTCCTGTTTAAAAGCCAAAGAGTAAGTCTTTCGCTTATCTTCAGAGGTAGTGACTTCCTCAGTCACATATAATCCAGTGTCATCCTGTAGCGGGTCTCTAAAGGCTCTCATTTGACTTTTAGGAATCTGTTGCTCTTCTGTTTGCTTTAAAGGCTCTAGCTGCTCACTGCCTATTGAATCTTGTTGATCCACATGGAGCGGTAACAATGCCTCTGGAACTGACTGGAAGAGAGCACAGGGAATACCGGCCGGGCAAGCTGTTGCAGTGTACTCTTGATGCTTTGAGGAGGCAACAGTCTGTGGAATACTTTTACATTCCTGCTCACTCTTCTCAAACACAATCCGTGATTCCAGCAATGTGCTCTCTTCAGAAGGCAGCACCTCTGCAGGACAGTCCGGGTCCCAGGGAAGTGAGCTTCCACTGGACTGCTCTTGTACAGTCCCTTCATCGCCCCGTCCCTCAATCAGAGAATGGAATGAAGGACTCTGCACTAACATGGGTGGCATAGCAAATTCATCCATGAGGAAGGAGATTTCCAACTGAGAGTGGTAAGCTACACAGGTCATAAAGATCAGGATCTCCTTAACTCGAGCCAGCTCATAATCAGAGCCTCCTCTAAGCCTGATGGTACAGCCAAGGTGCTGGGGACAACCTTCAAAAAACATCAGCGTTTTGGTTTGTTCTACAAATAAACAAAAGTAAAGAAGGCTTAGGTAACAATTCAGAAGTCCATACACAATTAATACACTGCCTTAGTATTTACAAAAAAAAAATAAAATAAAATAAAATTAAGAGAGTAAGACTATAGTTGCTATTCTCCCTTAATCACCAAGAGATATTTTCTACTAAATAAACATTAAGGCATTAATTCATTTCCTGAGATTCCCCAAGTGCAAATGAATCCATGCTAAAGAGTACTCACCATTAGGCAGCTGAAATATCTGCATATAAAACTTGTGACAAGTGCCCAGGTGTGGCTTTGTGAGCAGCTGGTCCATTGACATCACTAAGTCGCCTTGGGTCATGCGGCTGATTCGTTCTAAAACTTGCTACAACAAAGGAAAATATATTACAAAATAAAAATCTCACTAAATTTAACCTTGAAAACAAAATAAAATGATTTTAGTTTTAATAATTATATGATAAATTTCAAAATATTTTAAATGAGTCAACAGTTAAGTAATCAATATGTGACCACAAAAATAAAGCCATAGTCATACTAACATTACCAAAAGGCATTTGAGCATCACGTATTATCAAATCTGGTGGGGGAAAAAGTCCTAAAAGTAGGCTTTATTCCATAGAAAGTAGACTTTTCAAGGAGAGAACATTTTTTGTCCTTAAAAATCCCCCCCCCCAAAATGAAGAACCAAACAAATACCTGCTAATTACCTAGTGTCTAGTCCACCTTGGTCTTACAGACAACTACAGTAAGCATGATATAAGCACTCAACACTGTCTTTCTGTCTGAGATTCTCCAGTCTTAATAATGAAATAGCTACAATACCTTCTTGCCCTGCTGTAAATATAACATAGCAGAGACATTAAAATGCCTGTATATCTACCACTTATGCATATACTATGAATCTAAAAGCTATGATTTTTAAAGGAACAAAAAAATAACACTCACGGACTTTACATTAATGACCAAGGTAATTCCATGCTCCAGTAACATATCCTGGGCAATTCGAGACACTGTTTTCTCAACCAGAACCAATGTGGGTCGAACATCAACTATTCGCTGAACATAATTCTTCAGGAATTCCCTTTCCTAAGTCAGACAAACCAGAAATATAACAGTTCAAGATTTGGACATATTAAAATATCACAACAGCTTATTAATGTAAATGTCAACCTAAACGATTTATCCACAAGGAAGTCTGACACAAAATTAAGTGAAATACAACCAAGAATTTCATTCATTCACTTTTTCCCCTTCTGAGATAGTGTTTCACCATGCAATTCAGGCTGGCCTTGGACTTGGACTCACTTTGTATTCCAGGTTGGCCTTGAACTCAGAGTGATCTTCCTTCCCCAGCCTCACAAGCACTGGAATTACAGACAGACACCACCACATCTGGCCTTCATTCATCATTCTAAACTACTATTCTGAAGAATTTCAGGAGTAATTCCATCCTCTAATTTTACTTTGAAACAATTTCAATTCTTAAATAGTCTATATTATAAAGCCATACTTCCACTGAACTAATGCCAATACTTAGAAGGCTGAGGCAGGATGGTCAGTCACTGTGTGATCCAGGTCAGCCTGAACTACACAACAAGACCCTGTCTCAATAAACAGATAAATAAATAAATAAACAGCCAAACTTCCAATTAGCTAGCTCTCAGATGTTAAAAAACCAAATTCAGGACCTATAAATCTAACTTCATAACTCCCAAAATGAAAGCAATTTCTAAGTGTTTTTCACACAATTATGAATTTTCTCCTTCCCCTTTTGAAATTGAGGAGTATCTCTTCTTCTAGATATTAAAAACATTAGCTCTTCAAGCCAGGGACACAGCTCAGTGCCACAGTGCCTGTATGGCAAGCGTGAGGGTTTGAGTTCAATTCCCAGTACCAAAATAAATAAATAAATAAATAGCTTTTCAACTTCAGCTACTTCTTAGTTCCAAATTCCTATCAAATCATATTCTACCTCAAATAGCTGATCTATTACATAATGCTTAATGCAACTTCATCACTAAGCAACTTCAAATCAAAAGAATATTTCACATAATAACTAGAGCTAGAAGAATTCAATGTGTTAACTATTTCACAAAACCGTTAGGCTCCAGATGAGAGGCAACTGAAAATGTGCATATTTGTCACTACTGCTCCATATACCAATGCAACAGCAAGCAGAAACACCAACAAGACACCCAGGATTTGGAGGCAGATTTATTTACATGAGGGGCACAGATTGGGATCATTCCCAGAATATCAGACTCCGATCTCTGGTGGTCTAGGGCTTTTACATGATGCACAAGCAGGAGGTACAAAGGCAAGAGAGAACAGCCTGGAAGTTCTTCTGATTAGCTAGCAGGTGAGGTCATCAGTTACACAGGTAGATTAATGGCCATCAGGCTATAAAGGTTTGTATAATGGTACAGTCAGGCATCCTGTATGTTCAGTTACGCTCTCATGTTTATGGGAGTCAAGAAAGTAATCACAAAACCATGAAGCAGTTATAGAGCTAGACAGTTTCAAAAGAACAAAGTTTTAAAAAGAACAATTTCTCTTGTACTGTCTTTTCCTTTCACCAACAGTGTTTTCTGAGCAAGACTATATTAATGTCAGCCATTAGCAATGCATGAGCTTATTCCTACAATGAAGGTGACCAGCTATAAAGTATTCTTTTTCTAGTCTTTGCCTGCTTTCTTGGACAAACTTTACAATTTCAAATTCTCCTATTATTAGCAAAATGGAATTTTCCCCTTGAAATGTACTAATGTTCTACTCTGCTGACTCAGTCACAATTTAACAGCATTGAAAATGTTTTTATTTGTATAGATACAATAAAGTATAATTAAAATTTTAAGTTTCTGCCTGTAGTATATGGATGCCAAATAAATTTCTTCTCTCTTCTAGTTCTAATTAACTACTATGACTACGTGTGAAACACTGTATTAAAATGATGTCCTGGCCCAAGCTCAGTCAAGAAAGAGTATTGTGGGGGCAGGGGAGGCTATGAGCATAGAGTAGAGCTCAGCAGACCCACAGAGCTCCTGGCCCTGCCTTAGGAGGTCTAAAGTCACAACCTAATTTTCTCCTTGCTCTTCTGTTCCTCATTCTCTTCTTTCTCCCTAGCTACCTTTCAGTTTCTTATCTGAAGTAATTCTACCCTGGGTAGATAAGAAGAAAAGGAGAGGAGAGGGGAAGATGGAGACAAAAATAAGGGGGAAGGAGAAACACAGAAAGAAGGGAGTAGGGAAGAATGGAAAAAGGAAAAGGAAAAAAAGAAAAACCTTGGCTGAAACTTTTAATTCTTTTTTCAATTCAAAGTTTACTAGAGCAGGAGTTAAAAGCACTATAAAATTATGTTTAAAAGCACCAATGAAAATTTGCTTCACGTTATCTAAGTTGAATCATATTTCTTAACTATGTATATGTCCACAGCACACTTCTCTAACATGAAAAGACTTCAAGGTAAATTTAAATAATAATACAACATCTATAGATTTCAATCACCTACTTCATTTAACATCTGTACAACCAGGATGCAGCCTACCATCAGTACAGTTATGATCTAATTCTGTTAAAGGATTCTGCTGAAATCTGTGAGACCAGAAAATCCTCAGCACAGAGGCTGGAAGTAGAGCTCAATGGTACGGCTCAGTGCATGATGACCACGTGTGCAGGCGGCCCTGCACCTAATGTCCAGCACCAAAGAACCCAATATCAAGTTCCTTACATTCCATAACAGTATTATTTCCTCTGGTTTCTTGAAGGTCTCCACTGAAAGGTCACAGTAATGAAAACTAGAACTAAATCTAGCCAAAGTCTCCAGTTTTTACTGATAACATTAGCTAGCTCCCATGAAGAGTGAGCCCCATGTAACAAGTTTAAGATCAGAGCATAATTTCAAAATGTACTATGCCTTTGTCCAGAGCTTAGTTTTGCTTACTGGTCTACGAATTCAGAGAAATAGTGATTGGGAAAATGTAATTGATTTGAATTTTCAAGTAAGCTTTTCCCAAGTATTTCTGTAACTGGGTATACATTTTTCCTATAATATATTTACATTGCTAGAAACTTCCCAATTTGAATGACCACAAATTAAAATTAACAGTATTTCTGAGAAAAAAAAAAGACAGAAAACTTAAAACTTGGCCTACTTCATATGTATAGTACTAACACTTTGGCAGAGAACTTGGACACTCCAGATAGCCAGCCAGTGGAGGCACAGGCTGCCCCAAGGGAAACATAAAAGGCATACAACAACCTACAACCCTGTGACTGGGCATAGAGCCCTGAGCAGATGAAGCTACCAACAGACTTGCAGGACTCAGGTATGCCTCCCTGGGGAGAGGGACTGAAAGTGAATGCTCACTTTTAACTTCTTAAAAGAGCTTAAAACTAGGTGTCAGGGTGAACACCTGTAATCCCAGCACTCAGAGGCTGAGGCAGGAGGATCTTATCAAGCCCAGCCTCAGCTACATAGTGAGTTAAGGCCACCTGAACCACATAGCAACACCCTGTCTTAAAAAAAACAAAAAGAGAAAAACAACTAAAAAGATTCCTACCTATACAAAAGCTGAATTGAAGCATCTCTCATTTCCAAGTGAGGATCATAACCTTACTAGAGCTATTCTGAGCCCCCTTACTTAGGAAAATCTCACAGAAGCCAGCATAACTGCCATCTGGCATTCCCCTTCCTGCTACCTACATACAAGTTCAATGGTATTCAAGAAATATGCTTTAGTAGAAGATATAACATTATATTGTTGGAAATCTTACCAGGACCTGCAAAGTTCCAGAAATTCTCCCAATAAATCAATAGCCCAACTGGAAAAGGAAAACACAATTTTTTTCCACATTGAAAAACCAATTTTTGTGTTTCCCTTTTCCACTTGATACATTCCTGGTCATGAGTTCCCTTTAGCAGTCTGTAACTTTAAAATTGAGAGATACGGGATTGAGTAAGCTAGGTCTTCATAATACATATAGGTGTCTTTTTATAATGAGTTTTTAAAATGTGAAAGACAAAAAAAAAAAAATGTGAAAGACAAGTTTCCATTAAAAATAATTAAAAGATGACAATTATCATAGTAAAACACATCCCTCCAAAAGGAAAAAAAGAACAGAAGAAAAATGGAAACAAAGCATTGGTAAACAAAGGAAGAAAGGTTGAAGGGAAGGGAAATGGGGAAAAAGTAAAGATATACCATGTTCAGATACAAACTCCCTATAACAAATAGGATCATTATGTATGTGTACCAACAAAATTAATTTTTAAAAAACCATAACCTTCAATATTTTTGTCTTTAGCAACAAATGGTACCTGAAGCACAATAGGATCAATGCAAGTAAACTTTGTCTCTTCTCTGTATAGATACTCAATGGAACACTTCAGCAGGAGGATTTTGGGGTTCTTAATACAGGAATTCATCTGCAACAAGATGAACAATGTGTTACAGCTGCTGAGGTCTGCATGGGACAGATTTCTGTTAAACATAACTTTAAATGCCTATTGTTCATGATTACTACTAACTTAAAGCATATCATTTTTTCTGTGTTAATAGACTTTCATCATTACTTTTGAGTTGCTCTTTTCTTTTTTTTTTCCTGAAATAATTTGTTTAGACCAAGGAGAAATTCTTTTAAAATGTGGCTTTTGAGGACCGGAGAGATAGCTCAGTACACTAAGCGCCTGCCTGGCAAGCGCAGGGTCCTGAGTTCAATCCCTAGTACCGCAAAAAATAATAATAATATCAAAGGCAACATTTAGAGCCAGCCAGATAGCTTAGCAGACCAAAGCGCCTGCTTGGGCAGAGTGCAGTAGCCAGGGTTTGATCCCACGTGTGCAGTGCCAAGCCCTGTCCCAGGGCACACTTAGACAGCCATTAAGAGTGGGCGTGGTGGTGCACTCCTGTAATCCCAGTGCTTGGGAGGCTGAAAACAGGAGGATCACTACAAGTCTGATCTATGTAGTGAGATCCTATAGACCCTGTACTAAAAATACATTAAAAAATAATAATAAATAAAAATGTGGCTTTTACATAGTTAAAAATCTAGTCCTCTACAGCCTTGATTTTTTCCAAACTTCTAATGCTGTAAGAAAATATTATGTGGGCTTATGAACAGGCTGTTTAACAAAAGCTAGTCTATCAACTTGACAGCATACTTCTGCTCAAGAGATGGAAGGGAGTCAGGGAATGAAAAAAGGAGTTGCAACTTCTACAATGAATGTAAACACTATGTACTGTATAAACGTACTAATAAAAAATAAATTTTAAAAAATTAGAGTCATGGTACTGTTTGGATAGTTTATGTACATATTACTATTTATAGTTAGATACTAGTTAAGTGTTCATAATATTGAAGAAAAATTACTACTTGTCAATGTGAATACTTTCTAGCTATAAACTGCACTCCCCCCTTTTCCTGTTCACAAAAAGCTATTAAAAGGATAGAATGTATAAAACATATATTGCTGCTCTCTCAAGTACAAACTATTGTTTGTTGTCAAAAAAAAAATCAATTAGGCCAGGTATGGTGCTGCATGCCTGTAATCCCAGCACTTGGGAGGCTGAGGCAGGAGAATCACTGTGAGTATAAGGCCAGCCTAGGTCACATGAGTTCAAAACCAACCTGAACTACACAGCAAGACCCTGTCAAAGTAACAGAACAATTTTTTTTAAGAGAGGTAGATGAGGAAGAAAATAATTGAAATGCCTCCTAAACATACATTTTCATAAAACCATTTCAGTTGGCAAGCTGAATTGAGTAACATAAACTTAGAAAGAAAATTTTAAACCATTCCTTAAGTAAACTCAAGTATGTCAAGCATGCAACTAAAATCACAGGCAGCACAGCCTGCAATCTACAATCCAGGCATCAGACTGGGCTCCCTAACAGTCCCCACACTGGGAAACAGCTCTGATAGTAGTGATGCACTTGGTTCTTTTAGCCATGCAAATATAAGACTTATCTCCATGAAATTCAAAAGTGCTAATAATTTTTTCTTAGAAGACCATTAATGAAATATTGGCTAATTTGGGGCCAGTGCTATGTTTTTCCCCAAGTGGCAAAGTTTATTTAAAACATAAAAGTGAAGAGTAAGGGAGGAAAAAGCAAGATAAAAGTACATCCTGGAGGTCACAAGGCAAGCTACCACGAGGAAAGCCATGATAGCCTGCTATGAAATGGTATCAAATCCAAGCATACTTTTACTTACCTGTGGCCACTAATAATCCTATGGAGGCACAATACCTTACCATTATTTCTTGAACAATATATAGTATGACTACTACTAAGCAGCATTTACACGTAATATGTAATACAAAAATGATATAAAGTAAGCAGGAGAAAATGTACAGAGTATCTGAAAACACTACACCACTTTACAATAGGGGCTTGAGCACCCTCACATTTTAATTCACTGTGGATATTGAGGGACTGTATTACTCTCCATTTAGAAAACAATGAAAACATGACTACAGTTCATCATACTACAAGCTAGAACTCTCCCTCAGCCCTTACTGTAACAAAATCAGTACCTCCACAAGTCAGGCCGAGATCTGTTTTTACTAAGTCTCCTTGCCGACTCTGGAGCACAGCAAGATGTGAGAACACTGCTATATACATATGTCGTTCATCAAAATGTGAGCACCAACAAATGACACTGGAAACATTTGGAGACCTATGTTTCTTACTGTATTTGTCTATTTTTTACCAAAATGTACAGTCATATGTACTAGCCAAGTTAGCTGTGACATTTCCACACATGTATGTCACACTGGCGCTCCTACTTTAATTTGCACTGCCATTTCCTTTCAGCCTCCAGACACTCCCACTGTCCCAACCGTGATGAATGAGAACTTTCATGGGATTGTTGAGCTTAGGCAGCAACATGTTTAACCAGGTCCACAAGCAATCGTGCTACCTACACTACCCTCTCAGAGTCAGAAGTCTGCTAAGCAAAGTTTTGGCCCATTACTGGATACAAAGCCCTTGCCTACCTCCTCTGGTCTCGTCTGCCATTATCTACCTGACACTAGAGGACCTCAGAGATTCCTTAATCTCCAAGGTTATTTTACTCCAACCTCCATGTTAATGCAAGAAAAAAACCTTCAGAGCTAAAGGGAGAGAGAGCACAGGTGAGAAGAGTGACACATAAAAATGATGGTTCTCCCAGGGCTGGGGAGATAGCTCAGTAGAATAAGCGCTTGCCTGGCAAGCGCAAGGACCTGAGTTCAATCCCTAGTTCCTCTAAAAGAAAATGATGGTTCTGTAGCTCAGTCCTAGAATAAAGAACAGCTTTATAATGCTAAGCCTCTTATTGACTCCAGAACCATGCCTCCTGAGATGTGTCAGGATCTGAAGAGAAACAGTACCACCAATACGCTAGCATTCTGTTGCTCTGGAAGCCTAGCCTTCCTCTTCTCTTCTGTATGATGAATTCCCACTATGCAAATTACAATCCACTTAGCATCAACGTGAGACCTTCCAAAAGCCTCCAAAATTTCACCTGCATGGCAGACACTGCTAGTTGCCCTTGCCGCCTATTTGCCTGCTCTTCCATGATTACGGTACCCCACTTCTTAGCTGAGCTGAGGCATGATCTGCTTTACTTCACTGTTGAACCAAATTATGTTACCTTTTTATGTGCAATGTTCTTCGTACAAACAAAGCCATTGACAACCACCGAATCAAATTTCTTTCCACCAGGAATCTAATGGAATAATTAAGAAAACAAAATTCAGTAATAAATCCTTAAAGTCTACTCAGGTAGATGCTCTTATTTCTTTCTCTTTTTTTGCGGGGGGTGGTGAAGGATCTACAGGGTGTTTAGGGTCTCACTACTAGATCAGACTCCTAATGATCCACCTCTTTACAGCCTCCCCAAGAGCTGGGACCCAGTCTCAATTGCTGTCTCAGCACACCCTGGGGGCAGCGCCAACATGCCCGGCCCAGGGATCAAACCCCCAGCCCCTGAGCCTGCTTGCAGGCACTTCCTTATTTCTTTACATGTTGTATTTTAACTGTTGTATGCCCTAATGAGGACAAAAAGTTCTAGGATATACTTATTCATTCCTTTCAGCTGATCACTAATGGCATCTATGCCAGATGGCTTTTTCTTCCAATCCCTATTCCCTAATGCAATGTTTGACCCTAAAATACTCAGTGACTGAATAAACTGGTGTTCACAGCAATTAAAAACTAGTACTAAGTTAAACAGGTGAAAAACACACACAGAACTCTAATACTATCAAATTAAAGCAAAGAGCCACTGATTAGCAAGAACACAATTTCTCAGAACTAGTGTGTCAAGAAATGAAAAAGATGGCACGAGCCTGTAATCCTAGTTCTTGGGAGGCTGTAAACAGGTGGATCACTATGAGTCCGATCTAGTAGTGAGACCCTGAACACCCTGTAGACCCTTCCCTAAAAAACAAGAGAGAAAGAAAAAAAATGTATTTGTTTGGGTCCCACTTCATCTTCTATGCAACTCACCCCTCCCATCCACCTCTCACTGTTACGGTTTGTGTCTAGAGCTCCCCTTCAAGCCTCATGACTATGGAGTGAGCTTCTAGAGTTTTTAATTGATTGATGGCCCAATGCGGGGATTTTGGGTATGAGTGTTACACTCTCCCTGGGGTAGACAGCTTGCACACAATGTAAGGGAAGGAAAGAGGCTTGCTCTCTGCCGCTCCTCCCTTTTGCTCTTGCTGCTTTTGCTGTTTTCTGCTGCCACGAACTGTGGCCCTGTGTCATGTGCCACTCTGCCAGCTGAGTATGGACTGAAACCTCCATACACCGTGAGCTAAATAAACCTTTCTTTAGTTTTGGGTGTCAGGTATTTTGTCTCAGCAATGAGATAAAAGTAACAAATACACTCTCACATCTCCTCAGTGCACTCACTACTAACACAGAGTGGACAGCAAACATTTATCACTCAGCAAACCTTAATAGCAATGACTTTCTTTTTAGATTACCAGTAAGAGACAAACTGCCATCAGGCCTGTCTCACACATTTCTCATATTTACAGAGCATTTGAGAGCTCACCTTTTTGATGTGGACAAACTGACGGATATCCATGTCATCATCCTGGTTCTTGACATCAGGTCGGACTGTCTGAACAACCTGGCAGACAAGTGACACAATGATGTCCCTCCAAGAGGGTGACAGTGAGTCATTATGGAGCAACTGTTGAAGAAGTGCCATCATGTGATTATGATTAGCTGACCTATAAAAATATTACAAAAAAGAAGTTCACACAGTTAATATTTCTAGACATCATTTTTGAAAATACAATAAGCAGTCTACAAAGAAATAAGTATCTCAATTATGACTCACAAATAAGATCTCATTTTTTCATATATGTGCACCTTAATGATTTTTGCATATACAGTAAATGAAATCTGTATAGCAAATGAATACAGTCAATTAAGATGTCTGCACTAATTTGCTGAAGTGAAATTTTGAGATGTAAAATGTAGATAAATAGTTTGGAGCTCTTCTTTTTTCTTTTTTTTTTTTATGGGCAGAATATATTTATTGAGAGAAAGAAAGCTCCTGTCCAAGAGAGGGACAGGAGGGGGGCCCAAGCGGGTGGGTAATTCCCCCGGGCTCATCTTTTTTATAACATATTTCATCAGAAATAATAATAAGCTTTATATCCTAATTGAGTTCATATTTTATTTTATTGTATTTTATAAAGGGAACTATATGTACTTGCCTAAGTCACTAAAGGTTATAAAAATAGAAAATTAAAATTAAAAAGCTCAGTGCCTTACAGCAACCTCTCCATGGCTTGTTTCTCTCCATTTTCCTCCCTCAGGAGCTCCAGGTTGTTATGATGCCAGCCCAGAGGCGTGAAAGGCAGCTCTTTGGATTTTTCCTCTACTCGACGATTAAACAAGGATTCTAAGTATAAAATAAGTTATTACTTCATTGTCATATTGTAAACTATCTAGTCATACAATTGCAATTACCAATTTCTCAAGTTGGCCAATATAAATTATTGGTGTAAAAAGACAAAGACATATACAAAAAATACATAAAATATGTAATAATGCATAAATACATATGTACATACATAAATGTATTAAAAATTCAGAAGCAGACAGAGGCTGAGGTGTTGAGCACATCCCCAACCTATGCAGGGGCCTGGTTTGACCCCACATTCCCAGCACTGCAAAAAGAAAATGAAAAAAACAAAGGAGAAGCAACTGATAAGAGCCAAAACACAAGTGAAAAAAGCAAATTTACACAAATGAGTAGGACTCAAGAAAGAAATACACAAATGGCTTCCAAAAGGCAATGAAATGTTTTTATGCACTGTTCTTTAACACATTTTATAATATTAAAAGAGGAAAGTATTTTCCCCATGAAATCACAAATGGAAAATCATATTAAACTGAAATCTAAGTGCACACAGAATTAATACACAACAGTGTGGGCACTGAACTGTCTAATACAGCAGTTCTGCTTAGATGGCTCATGTCTGAACAGGTGGAGAGTGTGTAAAGTCTATCCAGACAGTCCAGGCTTATTCATAATGTAAGAAAGTGGAAACAAATAGTGTCTTTAAAAATGAAATTGAAACTGTATTTAAAAGCTTTCACCCAGGCATGGTGGTGTACGCCTATAATTCCAGCACTGAGGTGGCTAAGGCAGGAAGATTACCGTGAGTTTGAGGCCAACCTAGAAAACCCAGTGAAATCCTGTCTCAAAATAATTAATGAATTAAAATCAAACAACTATTTTTCAGGTCAGAAACTTCTCTCAAGTTCAAGTTTACATTCTTGTCTTTTAACATTTTTAATCATTATACACATTATAGCTGTGTTCTTATGATATAAACAATCAAATACATTTTCAGCATCTACTCTGTCAATGACTGTACTAGGACCTAACAGTACCCTCATTAACAAGAGACACCATCCCCTGTACAATTGCTGATAAAATTACCTTTGATGAAAGCATCACTTATTGAGAGTTGCTGTCCTCCAGTGTCAGAAATCAAATACTCTGCATAGCCCAGAGAGAACAGAGAAGAGGAAGAAAACAAAAGACATATGACTACAACAGGCCAGCATAATGATACCAAGAACACACCCACACACAACATGTTACTTGTAATAAGCCATCACAGACCCAATCTCAGCAAAGCTTTGAGCTAAAATGCCTCTTTATACTTGTTCTACACTATACACATTAAACTTAATAGGTCTGAATTTGTAACTCAACAAAACCATGAAACAATTCACCTTACTTCAAATGTCAAGCGTTTACCAAATGGAAAATGTCCTGTTACCAAAACTGAACCAGTTCATAAAAACTGAAGTTCTTAGTAATTTGAATGACAGGCCTAAAATATTACATAAATTTTTATGTATAACTGATTTAACAAATAATGAATTTGTCTATATAAAGGTAGTTCATGGAGAAACCACATGATAACATGTTTCAAACTTAATATAAACTATAAAACAAGGTTGTATGAAAGTAACATTAGCAGAGAATAAGACATAACAGAGTTATTTTTTTTTTTATTACTGAGGTTTTCTTATTTGGTTTTTGTTTTTCAAAAGTTCTAACTCCTCCCAAATTTTTTTGAGCAGGTAAATGCTAAACATGCCCTGAATATTTAGTGTTAAGTATTTTCCCTACAAGTGAAATCTACTCTTTATTTCCCTTGAATGTTCTTCTAGGTAGGTGACTGAGCACAAAACACACGAGGTTCTTTCTAATATGTAAAGTAAGCCACAGTGCATTTTAACTCCTTTAAAGTAAAAATTCTCCCTGACAAGCGCAAGGGCCTGAGTTCAATCCCTGGTTCCGCCAAAAAAAAAAAAAAAAAAAAAGTAAAAATTCTCCACAAAATCTTTTCCAAATTCATTTATAATCAAATGGATTTAAAAAGTAAATATATTTATAAGTCAATGTACTCATCTCTCCAACCAAAAAATAGAAAAATATTTTATTGAGAATATAAATTGCACAAGCTCCTGCCTGGCAAACAAAGGTCCAGAGTTTGATTTCAAGTACCAAAATTAAAAGAGAGACAATATACAAATGCAATATACAATTAAAGCAAGTACATAGATAAGATAGACGCTATATTTTATTTCTATATTTTCATTGCAGAAATATAGCCCTAAATGCTGTTCAACTAATTTACTGTTCTTCCCAAGCCTTATTCCCCACACTGAAGACTGAGTCCAGAAATGATACTTTTCCCCAATGTTATACTAAATACTCTAACATGCAATGCTGTAGACTCCTACTTAGATTCCACAACTTAAGGATTTGCCACATCTTTTTTCTCTACAAATACGTACGTTTTTTTCCCCATTAAAGTTAGACACACTACCATACTTTACCACTAAGACTTCGACATGCATCTCTTAGTATTTTAATAGAATATCCACTGAAATTAATCCAACAGTCTTCAACAGGTCTTTGATAATTTTTTCCTCAAATTTAGAGCTAACAAGTTCATCCATAGCACTTTGTTGTTGTTTCTCTTCACTCTTTTAATCTAGAACAAACTTCCCATACATTATTTTCCTTTTCTATGGTACACAGTTTTCAAAACTCCAGGCCCAAAATCTTGTGTAATGTCCCACATCCTGAGTTTGATTACTTCATGGTGTACTTAACTCACTCCTCCATGCCTTACATAGGGAAATGTGATCAAGAGACTTACAGCAATAAGATTCTCATTTTCTTTTTTTTTTTTTCCTCATGAAACTTTGTTTAATGGGTCTTAAAATTCTGTGACAAATTTTTGGTCATGTTGTTTCCAATAAAAAAAGTATTGATTTTAAAAACTAATCATTTAAAAACTGCCACACACACACAAAAATGGTCCATAAAACATTCTCCTTTCCTTCTGAAGGTTTTACGAGGCAATGTTATAATTAACCAGTCTTTCACTATTAAACTTAAATGGCCGATTGGGAGAAACAGTTCTGAGACCAGTCTTCCACCACTGATTAAGACTGGGATGGCAGGTAGTATGGATAATATTCATTTAGCCTTCTGAGCTTTCTGGGCAGACTTGGTGACCTTGCCAGCTCCAGCAGCCTTCTTGTCCACAGCTTTGATGACACCCACAGCAACTGTCTTGTCTCATATCGCAAACAGCGAAACGACCCAGAGGTGGATAGTCAAAGAAGCTCTCAACATACATGGGACTGCCTACATCCACATCAACAATGGCGGCATCAACAGATTTCAAAAACTTGGGCCCATCTTCCAGCTTCCTACCAGACCGGCGATCAATCTTTTCTTTTAACTCAGCAAACTTGCAAGCAATGTGAGCTGTCTGACAATTGAGGCCAGAGGTATAGTCAGCATTGATCTGGCCAGGATGGTTCAGGATGATCACCTGAGCAGTGAAATCAGCTGCTTCCATTAGTGGGTCATTTTACTGTCACCAGCAACCTGGGAAGAGCTTCACTCAGTTCCATGGTGCATTTCAACAGACTTGACTTCAGTTGTGACGTTGACTGGAGCAAAGGTGACACCAAGCCACATCTGAGAACACCCATCTCCACTCAGCCCACAGGGAAAGTGCCAATGCCACCAATTTTGAAGACATCCTAGAGGGGCAGATGCACAGGCTTGTCAGTTGGGCAAAAGGGTGGAAGGATAAAATTCCAAGCTTCAAGCAATGTGGTTCCACTGGCATTGCCATCTTTATGAGTGACCTTCCATCCTCTGAACCAAGGCATATTAGCACTTGGCTCTAGCATAATGTCACCATTCTAACCAGAAATTGGCACGAAATCTAGTGTCAGAGTTGTAGCTGATTTTCTTAATGTAGGTGCTGACTTCCTCAACAATTTCCTCATATCTCGTCTGGCTGTAGGGTGGCTCCGTGGAATCCATTGTGTTAACACCAACAATTTGTTGTTTCACACCCAGTATGTAAGCCAGAAGGGCATGCTCACTGGTCTGCCCATTCTTGAGGATACCAGCTTTGAATTCACCAACACCAGCAGTAACAATCAGGACAGTATAGTCAGCCTGAGATGTGCCTGCTACCTTGTTTTTGATGAAGTCTTTGTGTCCAGGGGCATCAATGATGGTCACATAATACTTGCTGGTCTCAAATTTCCACAGGGAGATGTCAATGGTGATACCATGCTCACACTTGGCTTTTAGCTTGTCCAAGACCCAGGCATACTTGACAGAACCCTTCCCCATCTCAGCAGCCTCCTTCTCAAATTTTTCAAAGGTTCTTTTGTTGATGCCGCCACATTTGTAGATAAGATAGCCAGTGGTGGTGGACTTGCCAGAGTTCAAGTGTCCAAAGATGACAATATTAATGTGGGTCTTTTCCTTTCCCATGTTGGCTTTGATTTAGTGGTGGTTTTCACTATACCTGTGCTCTCGCAGCAAAACCGTTGCAAAAAAGCAAGATTCTCATTTTCTTCTCTAGACTCTTGCTAACTTTCCAAGAATGGTTCAGAATCCTGCTTGCCACATATACATAAGGAAATGTACTTTAATTGTACAGCTTTCTAAGACCAACAGTGGGAAATTAATAAATCAAAGATGATACTTAGTTTTAAAAGCTTCTAAAAATAAGGGGGTTTCCTATATAAGGTAAAAAATATGAGTTGCTTTTCTTTGTTTGTCTGTGTATGGTGATGATCTTGGTAGGCACTCTACTACTCAGCTTCATCCCAAAATCTTTATTTTTTGTCTTAAAACAAGATTTCACTAAATTGCCTCTGCTGGCCTAGAACTTGCCATCCTCCTGCCTCATCCTCACAAGTATGCCATATATCAGTGGGCTTATAACAGGGCCAGTATGGCCAGCAAATAGGCTTTTTTTTTCCCACCTGCCAGATCCCTCCCTTGGTTTTTTTTAAAGTACAGATATTCCTGCAAATTTTTTTCCTTGAATTTATAAACTCAAACTTTCTCAGCTATAAAAGACAGGAGGACAATCCACAATAAAAGATTTAGTATTATCTTTATTTAAATGAAAAGATTTTTTTTAAAAATCATTCCTTTTTGTATTTACTTAAACAGAATGAAAATCAAGAGGAAGGAGAATGCTATCCTCTCAGATAAGCCTTTGGTCACTTGCACAATCTTTACTTTCAGTGTCCATCTTAACTATGAAACAGCAAATTATTTTAACCCAATGATAAAATACATCAATAAGATAATAACTGTTAGTAAACAAAAAACTAGTGAGAACTGTCAAAACCAAATACAGAGTAGAGCACGGTGGTGCACACCTGTAATCCTAGTACTCCGGAGGCCAAGACAGAAGGATCACTGTGAGTTGAAGGCCAGCCTGGGCTACATAGTGAGTTCAAGGCCAGCCTGAACTATATAGTGAGACCCTGCCTCAAAGAAAGAAAGAAAGAAAGAAAGAAAGAAAGAAAGAAAGAAAGAAAGAAAGAAAGAAAGAAAGGAAGGAAGAAAGGAAGAAAGGAAGAAAGGAAGAAAGGAAGAAAGGAAGGAAGGAAGGAAGGAAGGAAGAAAGAAAGAAAGAAAGAAAGAAAAAGAAAAGAAGCCAAATACAATCATTAAGAGATTTTTAAAATCCTCAAACTCCAGACTCTCCCAAGGGTGCATATGGCCTAACACGTCATTGCAAAAATTACCTTCTTGCTGAGGTCAGAAACCGCTCTATTACTGAATAGGCTAAAGGATTCCTCACACTCACTACATATAAAATATTTTAAGTTCTAAATCTAGATTTTTCATTTCACAGAATTAGAGCTAGAAGGAAACTTAAAACTGCCAAGTGAAAGGCCAGCCAAATAGCTTAGCAGACTAAAGTGCCTGCTTAGGCAGAGCACAGGGGCCAGGGTTCGATCCCTGGCACGCCATGTTGGCGCCGCCCCCAGGACACGCTGAGACAGTGATTGAGACTGGGCATGGTGGCACGTGCCTATAATCCCAGCTCTTGGGAGGCTGAACATAGGCAGATCACTACAAGTCCAATCTGTGTAGTGAGACCCTACAGACCCTGTATTAAATACATTAAAAAAAAAAAAAACTGCCAAGTATGCCCACCCTTCCACCCAATGTAGGCCTTGTTCCTCAGTAACCCTGATGGGTGGATGCTGAGATGATCTGGACGCTCCCAGTGCACAGCAGCAACAATGCCAAACTGAGGCCACACTGTACAAACACAACTTCATCCAGCTAGTCTTCATACCTAAGGACACAACACCTAACTTCTCCAGTTGAACCAGTCCAAACCAGCTAACTCAGTCTTAGTAACAGCACAGTTATCAGCTATCTCCAGATCCTGGTAACCTCACTGTATCCATATATCAGAACACAGAACATTAAACTAGACCTCCATTCTACTCCTTATGTTGGCACTTCCAAAACCTATCACTGCATTAGAGTAAGAAGAAGGAAAGGTTTTGAATTGAACTGAACTGAACGGAACCAAACTGAACTGAACTGAAGTGAATTTGCCCATAACTAAAACTTGGGTCTTATTACTGAGAATGGCTTTTCCAGACCTTTAATAGCAGACAGGCCAGGTGCAGTGACACACACCTGTACTCCCAGCATTCTGGAGGCTGAAGCAGGAAGATCACCATCAGGTCAAGACCTGTCTGGGTACATAGTGAGTTCAAAGCCAGGCTGAACTACATAGTGAGATCTTGTCTCAGAAAGCAAGCAAAAAAATAAAAAAATAAAAAAATAAAAGGTGGACTGTTTTGGCTAATTATACTGTGTTAAATTTTATTTTGGCAGTCACAACTGCTGTTAAGAAAATAAGGGTTGGGAGCACAAGGATGGTGTGCCCCAAACCCCTGGGCATGCCCTGCCCACTGGAAACTGGTAGTGGTGGCACACACTTGTAATTGTAAAGCTGGCGAGGCTGAAATGGGGATCAAAAGTCCAAACTGCTTAGTGAGACCCTGTATCCATACACACATAGAAAATAGAGTTTTACATCCTACTTCTGCTATCTAATATGCTAGTCATTCCATCTACATTTCAATGATTTGTGGGTCTGAAAAATACTAAAAGTATGGACCAAAAAATAACTGTTGAACAATATTGAATACAAAGAGACAAAACCCTATAGCACAACATATGATTCTCTTCCTGCTTACAACAAATTAATATTTATCCTTTCAATATGTTGTATCACTATTAAAACAAGTTACATGTGTTAATACTGGTATTGCTGAGCTCTTGCATCCACCAAACTAGTCTCTCTTGTTTTTCATACAAAAACTCGTAAGTAGAATGGTGATGGTGAGAGGCTGGTCAGAAGACAAAGAGATGTTGATCAAAGGATACAAAGTTCCAAGGTAAATTGGAACTTTTAGATTTACTATACAACATGACTACAGTATAATATTAATATTTAAAACAGATGAGAAAATGTCATCACAAAAAATTCCAGTATTGCTGAGAGTGATGGTACATGCCTGTAATCCTAGCATTTGGGAGGCTGAGGTAGGAGGATCACTATGAGTTCAAGGCTACCCTAGACTACACAGTTACTTCAAGGACAGCCTTAACTACACAGCAAGACCCTATCTCAAAAATAAATAAATAAATAAATAAATCCAAATAGTGTCTCTGGGGTAATGGATAATGTTAATCAGCCTGATTTAATCATTCCACCATATACACAGATAACATTACTTTGTATCCCATAAATATATGTATGTTATCAATTTTTAATTTTTAAAAAGTTCACAAAGACTCCAGAACCTATGATTTTAACAAATAAATATGACTACTGTCTTTAACTCTAATACACCTTAGGTACAAAACTATAATCTTTGTCTACAAAGCTTTTAAGGACTATTACATGCCTTGCTAACATAAAGAAAACTGTAGCTATCGTATTCTCCTGATCTACCAACCTCATATCACCTTAAGATGGAAATGAAGTTGTTTCAAAATGACTTGTTTTAGGTAACAAACCAAATCCCCAATCACCATTAATCCTTTTCCAAATATTGCAATGTAATCTAATTACAAAGTTGTTCTCCAATTTTTTCTTTTAATACCCCATTAAGAAGCCACCTTTCTACAGTGGCCAGGCTCTGCTGGCCCCACCCCTGGGGTGCTCTGACAGGGAGATTGAGACTGGGCATGGTGGCACACACCTGTAATCCCAGTGCTTGGGAGATTGAAAACAGGAGAGTCACTATGAGTCGGATCTATGTAGTTAGACTGTAGACCCTTTAGGTACTGTACTAAAATACATTTTTAAAAAAGAAGCCACCTTTCTAAAAAAAAAAAAAAATGTAATGCATCTATCACTACAGTCAGCTGTTTTCTCCTATTTTATAGGATTATGGGGCCATGAGGCAGTCTAAGCAGCAGTCTAAGCGCCTGCCTGGCCAAGCTTAAGGACCAGGTTTGATCTCCAGCACCACCGGGGCACACATTTAAAAAACAAACTTCAGGGAATGTTAAAATTCTTTGTATTTTCCAGGATTCATAAAGAACAAACTCCAGCTCCATGATCACAGATCTATTATATCCACTCAATAACCTGGTATATACTCTGCTTAACTCTGGCAATAGGCTTATTTAAAATAACCAGGTATTCTCTTATCTCTTCACTATCTTAGACCTACTTTCCTCTCAACTATATTCTTTGCTGCTAAAATTAAGCTTGACAGAGAAGAAGAAAGCTTCCTTCAGTCATCAATATTATATCAACCTCCCTAAATAACTTGCCAAATCTCTCTTTCTTTCTATAGCAACCCTGAATCTGTTCTCAGATATCCTTGGCATTTTCTTCAACCTTCAGTACAATCTGGACTTCTGCTATGCTGTCATTTTTCTTGAAAGTGCTGGCCCCTCTTTCAGACTCATCATCACATGAAGATTGCCGCTCACAACTTGTGTAGACAATCTTTTTAAAGATTTGAAATCAGAGAGGTTCCAGAGAAGTCATGACAGGTTTTAACTGTAGGTGCTTCCCTTTTTGCTTTCCCTGTAAAATGTCATAAAAATGTCATGAATGGAACTTCTTATTCTTTTCTCACTCCAGTCTGAAGTTAGGTTTTCTCAAGTAAAGGTGTGACCATGTTCAGCAGCCCATCCTTCAGCATTATGAATTCTACAATGACAGAGCACTTTCTTTTTTTTCTTTCTTTTTTTTTTTTTTTTGGTGGAACCAGGGATTGAACTCAGACCCTTGTGCTTGCCAGGGAAGCGCTTATTCTACTGAGCCATCTCCCCAGCCCGACAGAGCACTTTCTAGATTTTCAAAATTTCCTTAATGTCCCAAGAAGGAAATCATCAGTGAGGTACATATGCGTTTTACACGTTGCTTTCAGCAACATGGAACTGCCAACAAGTGTGAACAGTGCACAGCCATCCTGTTACACACACTGCCCTGTATCTCCATGTTTACAGTTAAGAGCATCCTAATGCTTTCCATTAGTAATCACAGCCTACAGTAAAGTATCACATGAGTGCCACATCAGCTTCACTGTCCTTTCATGCTTGCCCACAGTCTCCATTATTTTTCCAATTCCTGTTCTGAGAATACTCATTAAGATGTGTATCTTTTCTAAGTTCACTGCTAGACACATCTCCTTTCCCATCCTCTCTAAATTCCTTATTTCTAGATGAGACACACCCTTTCATTTTTCTAACTCAGTGACATTTTATGACATACTGATAACTTATACTAACAATAAAAAGAAATTGGTGGTAAAAATGTTTTCTCAAATTATTTTAATATTAGGTGTTTAAGTTCAAAATCTTGTTTCTGTTATCTTTGGGCTAACATAGCAAAGAATTAGACAAGCATTTCTGATCTAAGTTAAGAGATAATTTATAGAAAGTTTCAAATTCAAACTGTAGGTAAAATCATGGAATAATATGCTTCATCTGTAAAACAATTTTTCAATTATTATGTCACAAGGACTGGGGATGTAGCTGGGTGGTACAACACCTGCCTGGCAAGTGCAAGGCCTTGAGTTCAATTCCTGGCACCAAAAAAAGAAAAATTATTGTGATACAAAATAGGCTCCCTCTTTATTCACTCACTCAATTTGCTTTTTATGTAACACCACATTATGGGCATAATTTAAATTAGTTTCTAAAACATACAACAATGTGAACTTCATCATCCATTTTTTACCAAGGCACTTTGTTCCTTACATGCCACTATCTTAGATTTTAGAAGTGATCTACTCCTTGTTTTTCATTGTTTACCAAACAACTTAAATAAGGCCTTTAATCGGCAAACTAAAGCATCAAATAAAATAACTACATATAATTCATTTTGTATTAGATAAAAAATTTTAAAGTAAATATACTATATTTATAATGGGCCTCTTAAATACTACTAGACTTTTAAATGTGTGATTTCCCCCAATCTAGTTCAAGCAACTGAACAGGCTTAGAGATACGCTATGTTACTGCAAAACAGCACAGGCAAACAGGCTTTAAAATGTTAAATGAAGAAAGAGAAAAAAACTAGAGCAGAACATCCATGTTATAAATGCAAAGAAATGCCACCTTGGAAGTTGCACATTATGGGAACAATAGTCAGATACAGCTCCTTTTAATGACTGTAAGCTTTAAACTGGACATGGTGGTACTGAGGGAGAAAACAAAAAATACAAGGAACCAAATGATTAAGGGACGGGGAGGAGGTGCTGGGAAAACAGAAAGGGCGGATCAAAATCTATACCAATTCCTTTCAGCCACATGGGACAGAGGAAGCCAGAAGGATAGGCTGGCATAAGGTCCTATGCCCAGATCTCCAGCTTGTCTGGATTCCAGATAGTGACTACCTCCTACCTTTTTGGTCAGCAGGGTGAGGGGGCACATGTGGGTACTTGGAGGGCTTCTTGATATGGAAGTTCACGTTGTCCAGCTCCACGTTCAGGCTGATAGAAGCGGCTGAGTCACTGTCCACTGTGGACTGGAAACTGCTGACTGAGGTGCGCTTGCTAGGACTGGCAGAATCTTTTAATGTTGGGGAGGGGAAAGAAATACAGGGAGAGGAGGGGAGTAAAAATGGGTTTTATCAGGATATTGGAGGAAAGGAGAAAAATTGTTTTTTTTTAATATACAAGCCCAATGTGCAATACCAAAATGGATACAGTATTTTCATGTACTTGTGTAAACATATAAATTTTGAACAAGTTAAATATAAAATCAATTTGAAAAATAAATATATTGGAGGTTCTGCAAAGAGAGAAGTCTGACATCATAGTGAAGAGGTGAGAAAGTCGCTGCAATATTATTAGCTCAGAGTTATTTTTAAGCTGCTGCAAACTATATACTACAGTAACATCTGGAAATTTCAGTTGCCTACCAAGTTGGTTTCTTAAGAAAATACTGTATCTAAAACAAGGATTGCTACCAGATGTTTACATATAGTAGGCGCCGTAAGTTTAGGAATCACTTGAATAAACAAGACATTCATTTTATCCTATGTACATACCCGTAAAACCTAAAATGTTAGAAAATCAAACTCACTAGCCAGATTATCATCACCTTCTTCAGCTATCTGTTCTGTGTCACTGTCATCAAACTTAATGTCTTTAAACCAGGATGGCTCCGAGTGACCTTCCACAGAGTTCACCGAGTCACTGTCTGGAGAAGGTGTCTCAGAAAGTTCTGTACTCTGAGAGAAAAGATCAAGAAAAATCCAAGCAATTAATCTCAACAGCAACAACACTGAGGTTATCACACCACACATATATTGTGGCCCAATACTTCTACAAATCTAATGACAGTAAACTTAGAACCAAAGTAAACTTATATAAAAACTAAACTACACAAGAGCATCAAATTTACAATTCTACTCTTAACATAATTTTCATTAACTAGAAGGCTTAGGTAGCATATTATGGATAAAATATTTTCTGTGATATAGATTTTACAGTGTTCCATTTCACTCTTAAGTCCTAAGTGTGAAGATAGCTTTTAATTTAGTCTAACCTGGACCAATTCTAGGACAAACCTTGGAAAATAATTGTATGATAATATTACCTCAAACACATCTCTGAAGTTCTTTGTCTACTACTGAGTTTCCAATTTTAGTTCACAAAAGTGTCCTATATATATTATCTTTAAATATATTTGTAACCACACCAAGAGAAAAAGAAGCATAATCTTTTTAAAAATTCGGGCTTTAAGTAATTTCCATTCCTCTAAAAATCAAAAAAGAGGGCTGGTGAGATGGCTCAGTGGTCTAAAGCACCTACTTAGAACAAGCTTGGCAGAGCACAGGGACCGTGGTTCAATCCCCCAGTACCACATGCCAGCCAGCCCTGCTCCCTGGTGGGCTGAGCTGGCCAAACACACACACATAAATAAATGAATAAAATTAAAAAATAAATAAATAAATAAAATTAAATTAAAAAAATAAAAAAAAAGATAATTTATTTCTTTTCTTTTTAGATATTTATTTCTATAAACAGGACTAGAGTTAAAATCCATTTTGGTAAGTAATATGAAATCTTTTCAATCATTCTGTCATGTATATGTCATGCTTTCTTAATTCTAAAAGCACAGATAGGGCCAGCCAAATAGCTCAGCAGAATAAAGCGCCTAGAAGAAGGCACAGGGGCCAGGGGTTCAATCCCCAGGCCTGCCCTGCTGGCCCTGCCCCCGGGGCACACTGAGACAACAATTGAGACAAGGCATGGTAGCGCGCACCTTTAATTCCAGCTCTTTGGGGGCTGTAAACATGCAGATCACTAAGAGTCCTTTCTAGTAGTGAGACCCTGAACACCCCCTATAGACCCTTCCCTAAAATACAAAAATAAATAAAAGCACAGATAAAGTAAAGCTAAAATCCATTAAAATTAAATGACAAGAAATCATTATATCCCAAGGTTAAACAAAGGTACACCAAAGGAATAAAATGAAAAATATTACTGCTATTTACTAAATCAAAAACATTGTTTAAAAAACAGGAAGAAAGGAACAAGAAGAAGAGTAGGAAGAGGAGAAAAAGCAAAAAAGACAGCAGTAGGGCTAGGCAGTGGTAGAGCACTTGTAGTGTGCACCAGGCCCTCAGTTCCTTCCCCAACAGTGAAAGAAAAGTTTTCGCTTTCCTCAAACAGCAGAAAAATCACCTTACAAAAGATATCTTTCAGCAATTCACCTCCTTTTTATTCCCTGTGGTGAAGGACAATTTAAAAAAAGCTTGCCACGTTCTGAGCAGCAGTAAACACTGAGCACTACCTGCAGTGGTCTGTACAGCGCGTACTCATCCCGGAAGAGCTGGTCGTGGTGACTCACACAGTCCAGCCAGCGCCCGTCCACCATGGCCTGTCCAATTGCTATAGCTTGTGCCCTGAATAAAACCAATTAAAAGTCAGAGTAATTTTACAGGTACAAGATATTTTTTTCTTCAGTGATGATCAGAGTTGTAATTTCAAATGGTTCTTAGATAAATAAAGGATACAATAAGAAAGATATGAAGCAAATTATAAAATTATTCTAGGTACCATAGTGAAGGAAAAAAACCTACTGGCAATACATCCTAACAAAACCTAACTTTAACTGTATCAAGAATTTATTTATTGATTACATAATACATGTACACCATTTTTTTGAGATGGGGGTCTCTGTATGGAGTTCAGGCTGGTCTTGAACTCATGATGATTCTCATGCCTCAACCTCCTGAGTACTAGGATTACAGGAATGCACCACCACACCCAGGTACACTCTGTTGGTAACAGAAGAGTGAAAAAATGCTGAAAACAGTATGGCTCCTTTACTCAAAGAGCTTTTAATCTTGATGAGAAGACAATGCCAAATATTACATATAAAATAATATGTATAGGGCCAGCCAAATAGCTCAGCCGATTATAGCACATGCAAGCAGGTGCAGGGGCCAGGGATTCGATCTCTGGGCCTGATCTGCCAGCCTCACACCCAGGGTGTGCTGAGACAGCAACTGAGAATGGGCATGGTGGTACGCGCCTGTAATCCCAGCTTTTGGGAGGCTGTAAACAGGCAGATCACTACAAGTCCGATACAGTATTGAGATCCTGAACATCCTGTAGACCTTTCCCTAAAAAAAAAAAAAAAAAGAAAGAGTAATAATAATTATATGTATGAAACATATAACAGGGTATAATACGGTTTGTCACAATTTGTAAAGAACTTAAGCTAACATTTTTTTCATCTCCACAATTTATTCACAGGACCAAAATATTTCCCTCACATAAGAACTGAGGTTCATCTCAAAAGTATGGATAATTTGTCAAAATTCTTAAAACTAAAAAGAAATACACCAAAACTGGAACCCCAGGCTTCCCTTTCTAACTTACTTGTTTGGCTGTTTGTTACATCCTATGAAAGAAAAGCAGCTCATTTGAACAAGCCATAGAGACTGGGGATATATTACCTTGAAAGGCAACTACCTTCCCTGCTATTCTCTGTATGTGTTTTAATGGCCCCTTCTCAACACAGGTTGCAGTGTCTGTACTGTGACTAGAAAATAATAGCAGGAGAACCCTCTGACCTTAGACTTGAACTACATTCTTGATTTATCAGAGAGTTTTATATTTTGAGAATTACTTCTGCTTTCAATAAGGTAAATTATAATGCTCATTAAGTAACTTACAAGTTATTTTCTACTAGTTAAAACTCGGAAGGAGGGTTGATAATTAGTTCCCCAAACTATCAAATACACTAACAAAAAAAAAAAAAAAAAAGGCAGCCTAACACAAAGAAATGTTACCTTACATCTTCAAATACATGTCCTATTTAAAAATTAATTTAAAAATTAATAAATAATATCAAAACTTCCTTCTTAGGCTCACAATACCTTGTAGCAATGTGCCCATTGCGAATTAGCCAGTTGACTAATTCCTTTCCCACAATGCAGTTGGGATGGGTTCTCAGCCAGTATCGGTGATCCTGAAACTCCATCCCACTACTGTGATGGCAGATTTTTTTCCACAGGTCTTTTAACTGAACACTGTCCTATAATCATATTAAAAAGCAAGTAATTATTCCTGAGAAAAATGCAATACACCTTTTCATATGCTTTCCTATGATTATTAGAGTCATAAAAGAAATACACGTGTGTGTGTGTGTGTGTGTGTGTGTGTGTGGTACAGGGGATCGAACTCAAGACCCTGTGCTTGCCAGGAAGGCGCTTATTCTACTGAGTTATATCCCCAGCCCCATAAAAGAAATGTTGATTGGGATTTCTTATAGCAGCTAACTTAAGACTACTATGAAACATATATGAAAACAGTCTGAACTTAACGCATCTAATTCCAAACATAACTTTTCCCTTGAGAATTTTCCCAGGTACTATCTTTTCAGTCAGTAATACATATCATAAGTCTCCTAGTTAAGTGCAAAATATATCCGTTAGGGATGGGGCAAATACTGTGAGACAAAAGCCAATTATACAACTCTAAACTGTTTTTAGCAGCTTTTGCTATACCAAATTCTAATCACTCTCACCCTGTATACTCGACTGTCAGAATTTTTCTAAGGAAAAGTCTTAAAACCTTTCAACACTGCTCAATAAGTACAAATTTAAACTTAGGAAGAACTAAGAGAAAGTAGCTGTATATCTATCCTATTTTGTATATACAGATATATATCTTTTTTTTACTACAAAATGGACCTTCATTTATATCCCCCTTTTTTGTTCAGTTTTGTCAGAGATGGGTGTTCCACTGCCATTCACATATTGTAGGTACATGAATTCAGCAAAATAATCCAATACAGCCCAGAGTCCATAATAGTACTGGGTTACTAGCAGAACTGGCAATGTCAGAAGTGTTGACTTGAGTCTTTTATAGCTCAGCATATTAATATGGCTTTACTTTTTATACCTTGTGTTTATACTTTTCTACTGGATGGTTAAGACCAAGACATATATAACAAAAAATGTAACTTCTGTATCTGACAAGGTCAGTCAAGAAAAAAGATTTATACTAGTAGTGTTTAGACAAGATATGATGTCTGCATCTTGTACTCTGAATAACTACTATGAATACAACAACATGTAATATATTAATTATTGTAACTGTCCTACTAACCTGTTTTGAAACTCATTGCTATTTCTCAATAAAATAAAAAATCAAAAAAAATAAACTTATGAATAAGGAATGAGTTCATTACCTGCCATAGAGTAGTCCCAAATAATTTCCCATTGTCACTGCCCACAGCTCCAACTTTCACTCTCTCCCATTTTTTTTTTTTTTTTTTTTTCAGAACCAGGGATTGAACTCAGGCCCTTGTGCTTGCCAGGGAAGCACTTATTCCACTGAGCCATTTCCCCAGCCCAATAATCACACTTTAGCCAAAGAAAAATGCCACATTTATCCTTAATTCTACCTTTCCTCTCACTTTTTAGTAAGATTCACTTTGCTTACTGTCTATCCAAAAGTATTCCATCCTTTGAAGTTAAATTGAAGCCATTTGGTTTTAAAACATTTCCACTGATCTGATTTCTACCTTTTAAATTGTATGTAGAAACCATATACTCGCAAGATTGAATAGAGTATATTATATATAAGTAAAAAAAAAATTGATTCTCTTATTTAACATATTTAATTTAAAAAAATTAAATATCTGAAAAGTTTTCCATATGTATGAGAAACATGTTTTAAAGTTTAAATAATAGCAGGCTGGGCCGAACTAAAAAAATTCTGGTATTACACAGGCAACTGAATTTTGATGTTGCCAGATGAAAGAGGCAAAGAAAACATTAATGCAGTGACTACAAAAGAATACTTGATCAATTTCTCAGATAACCACAGTAAAAAGTTAAGCTAGTTATTTTCCAGCCAGTCTCATTCTGTAGTTTAGACTGGCCTTGAACTCACTGTGTAGCCTAGGCTGGCCTTAAACCTGTAGCAATTCTCCTGCCTCAGCCTCTCCCAAATACAGTGATTACAGTCATGAGCCACTACACAGAGCTTCTCTGCTAAACTGATATGCTGTTTTGTTTGTTTCTTTAAAAAAAACTCAGTGAAATCAACATTCTTTACACTCAAAGCTAGCAACAGGTCAAAGTCACTGGACTGGTACCAGAAGAATTTTGCGTTCATCCTCAGTGGTCTCTGTCCTCACATACATCCGGTTAGCCTGGGGACTGACAGATGTCTCATATGAAGGTACCATAGGAGACCCAGAACGATCCAGTGACAGGTTAGTAATGCTGGCTGATCTAGAAATGAAAATAAACAGTAATCAAGATCATAAATTTTTCATCAATAGAATTACAGTGTAATGTCATACTTAAATGTTTTCTTACCACTATTGAGGGTATTTTTAAAAGCAATTATGATGATTTACTTTATAACTAAGAAAGAATGCACAGAAATGGTAATATATTTGCAATTTTTTGGTGAATCTAAAATTACACTGAGGAGCAATTCACTTTCAAATTCTCCCTTCTTATTCTGAGTAGCTGTCTGTCATCTCTTTTTTCATCTTCAAATAACTTTTCTTGTAGCTTAAAAAACAAAACTACTTGGAAATAAAGTTAATGAAAATAGTTATGGAAAGTACAGAAAGAAAATTATATTGTCCATGTATTAATATTAGTTCAAAGGAAATGAGCACAAACTATTAAAAATACTAAACATGAGATAAACACTAACAAGTAAATGTTGAAATCATCTTCTATAGGGTCAAAAAACTGGCCGAAGGCCAAATCCAGCGTGCCTCCTGTTTCTGCACTTCCCTAGAAGCTAAGAAGCTAAGACTCATTTTATCTTGTAGTCAGTCTGATTATGTAGCATATGAATGAATTCTAATGCAAAGCACTCCGCATCCTCCAAAAAGAATTTAAAACAGCCTCAATTTTTATTATTTTTTTATTTGATCAACAACAAAATATAAGTAGAAATTTGTTTTTATCTCATTATACAGTATAAATATAAATATCCAGGGTGCCACAGAGATAGCTCAATGGTCTAAGCGCCTGCCTAAGCACGCACAAGGACCCGGGTTCTATCCCCATTACCACATGCCATGCTGGCCCCACCCCAGGCATGCTACCAAGACCTGGCACGGTGGTACATGCCTGAAATCCCAGAGCTGTGGAGGCTGAAACAGGATGATCACTGCAAGTCCAAACTGCATAGTGAGACCCTGTATCAAATACATTTTTAAAAATGCATAATTTTGCTTCATCAAAAAAATAACTTGTAGGGGGCTGGTGAGATGGCTCAGTGGTCTAAAGCACCTACTTAGAACAAGCTAAGCTAAGCAAAGCACAGGGACCACAGTTCAATCCCCCAGCACCACATGCCACCCAGCCCCGCCCCCTGGTGGGCTGAGCTGGCCACACACACTAAATAAACAAATAAAAAATTTTAAAATAAATAAATAAATAACTTGTAAATAGAGTATCACAAGAAGTGATGTTTTAATTTTTTTAAAAATATTTTAAAGCCTGGGTGTGTTGGCGCATGCCTGTAATCCCAGAGCTTGGGAGGCTGTAAGCAAGAGGATCACTACAAGTCCCATCTGTGTAGTGAGACATGTAGACCCTGTAGTAAAAAAAAAAAAATATATATATATATATATGTATAGCTAGACATTTAGCATCTATTAAAAATAAAATTTTAGTTTCCACTTAAAAAAGGCAGAAGCATCTGTGCTACACACTATGTAACTCAACCACTAATATACATTTTCTCATTTACTTGTCACACCATTCTGTAGGATAGATGTTAGCTCCATTTTGCCAGATAAATCAAAACTTAACAAATAGTTTGTCTAGGGTAACTCAAGTAATCAATTAAGGGCTGCCATTCAAAACTAACTCTTGGCTGGGGAAATAGCTCAGTAGAATAAGTACCTGCTGGGCAAACACAGGGTCCTGAGTTCAATCCCCAGTACCACAAAAAAAAAAAAAAACCTAAGTTTCAACTGAAAAAATAACATCCTCTTTCTAGTATAATGGTACTACTAATTTAGGAAAGTATTCATAACTTTAGCAGAAAGTCAATAGTTAATGGGGAACACTGAGATAGTCTTTTAGTAAAAATAGTCATTCATTTTCTGACATATTCTTTTAGTAAAGTTCATTATATCCTACTCATTTAATTTATTTATTTATTTTTTTAATGGAACTGGGGAATGAATTCAGGCCCTTACTGAGCTATCTCCCCAGCCCCTTAAACTTCTCTTCCAATGAAGACTTTAATTCTTTCATCCTGCTCCTCTAACATTCTAAACAACCCTGCAAGAATTCTAAAATAGCAATAAAAATAAACTAATTTTGCTGTCAAAAGCTCTGATACAGGTCCAGGCATGGTGGTGCACACCTGTAATCCCAGTGCTGGGAAGACTGAAAACAGAAGGATCTCTATGAGTCCAAGCTGCATAGTGAGACCCTATACCAAATACATAATAAAAACAAAAAGCTCTGATAAATATACTAATGGCAAGAATGCTAATTAAAATTATATTTTGAGCACTGAGGAGTCTGAGACAGGAGAACTGCCATAAGTATGAGGCTACCCTGGGCTACATAGGTGAGCTCAAGGGCAGCATGCACTACACAGCAGGATCCTATCTCAAAAAACAAAACAGAAATATATAGACAGAAATAGCATTCACTAACTAAATTACATCTCTCCTAAAGATGAATCTTAGCATTAATTCAAAACACATGGTGAAACACTGTAAATTATCTGTGTAATGGTGTGTGCATGCCAATAGAAATATTGCTGATTCATCTTATCTTTTACAAAACTGTGACTCCCACCTTTGACGTATTTCACTGCTTTTACAAACTCTCATCTCCACTTGTTCTCCATTCTAGCATGAAATCCAAATAACCTATTATTACCAATGTTATTGTTACCTCATTTTACTTAGCAATACAACTTGTCCCTCCTTGAAAACTCTTCACTTGGCTGGTAAGATAAACACCCTCTATTTCTGTCTCTATTTCTGGTTCCTCTACCCTTGGCCAATTTCTGTACTTGCTCACATTTCCTCTTTTCACATTCTCTTGGTCATCTCTATCCAGGTTCATAGCCTTAAATGCTATTCACATGTTAACATGCAAGTCTGTATCTCCAGCCTGCACCTCTCCCCTACAGTGTGAACTCATATATACACCTATTTAACTTCTCTTAGATATCTAACAGGTATCTCAAGTTCAATGCACCTGAAACCACTGTTACATCCCATCTTCCCCATATTAATACACTGATGCCTCAGTTCACACATATGATTCTTTCTATGACTGTGGTCACAAACCAAGCTGGACAAGATTTGAATCCAATTCAGTGGTTAGGTTCAATACTGATCTTACGGAGAAATTTGACTCAATTTTCATCCAGTTCAATTTGAGACGATAATTATGGAGAGAACTGAGTTTGTGAACTGAGATAGTACTGTACATGGCAATTATATTCTTCCAATTGCTTAAGCCACAACCTGAATCATCTTAGATGCTTTTTCTGTAGTGGCCTACATGCAAATGATTAGCAAATTGTTATCTCTTTAATCAAAATACAAGGAGTGGTTGAAAAATATGGTACTTTATATTTTTAAATTTGTAACAGTAAAATTCACCTGAAAATATAAACCCTGACTTCAAGCACACTTATCATTCTTGCCACTTTCTGAAGAAGCTCCAGAACTTCTCTTTCATGAATATCTTTACTTGAGCTGTCATGGCTGCCTCAATGTCCTGAATCCACTCAAAATACTTACCTTCATGGTCAATTTTTATTTTGGGCAAGAGGCAGAGGTCACACAGTGCTATATCCAGTGAATACACTGGATGAAAACACACTGTGATGTTTTTGCAAGCCTGCCTTTTTCACTAAATGGCACTCATCAGCATTTACTGTTGCTTTTTCTTTTAGCAGCCTTCTTTTAAAATAAGGTGTTACTTTCCAAACATAATTCAGATCATGGCTTCCCCTCAACTCCAAATTCAAAACTCCCCAATAAGGAAAAGCTTTCATAGAGTGTCCACTAATAAGTGTATAAGGAATGGAAGACACCTTTTGGCCAGGTGTGGTGGCATACACCTGTAATCCAAACATTCTGGAAGCTGAGGCAGAGGATCACTTTGAGCTCAAGGCCAGCCTAGGCTACATAGTAAGTACAAGGCCAGCCTGAACTACATAAGACCCTGTTTCAAAAACAAAAACAAAAAAAAAAACATCAAAATAAAAAGTCACCATTCTGAATCCATCATAGTCATCATAGTAATATCTGATTTGAGCAGAACCATAAAATGGGTGGTAGTAAGTAATGAGACTGGTAAGGAAGATGATATTTACGTAGTTTCAGAGTAGCTCCCTCATGTTTCATGTATCACAAAGGGAAATATAGTAACCTTACTTTCCAAGGGAGAAACCCAAGACATAACCTTAGCCAACAGATTAAGTCAACTGACCTGTCCTCCTCACAAACACTAATGTCATGAAAAGTAATTGTTAGCATGAAGTCCAAGAGACATAACAATCAACTGTAATTTACACTGGCCTGGATCACAGACTAGGGGGAAATTAGTACAAAGGCTATTACTAGGACAACTAACCAAAATAGAATACAATCTATTTAGATGATAAAATTTGTCACCAGGCTGGGGACATAGCTCAGTGCCTGCCTGGAAAGCACAAGGTCCTTAGTTCAATTCCAGGTACAAAAATAAAAGAAATTCTACAAAATTTACTGCCATTACAATTCCTTGAATTTATACTTCAATGATATAAGGGAACTTGACTGTTCTGAGAAAACACTGAAATACTAGAGTATTTCCTATTTCTGATCTGACATATAAGAATCTTAAAGTCTTCACTCTGTCCTAATAACAATTAAAAAGCTAAACTGAAAAGTGAGCAACTTTTCTTAGAGCTATCAGACAAATGGAGTCACAGAGCAAACTCTGAACCCAATCAGTAGAGACACAGACTGGATAATATAGAAATTCACAATTTACTGGAGCAGAAACTCACAAATAGAAATAACCCTGGAGAACTGTACTGGAGTACAAAAACCTAAAGTATAATTGGGAAATTCCTAGCGACTCAATGTGAACAAGTGTGAGAGATTTAAAACTCTTAAGAGGACAAAGTATGCAAGGGGATTAGGCATGTTACTCGTGAATTTGACTCTGAGGAGCTCCAGCAGGTCCTCACAACAAACATCAAAGAAAAATACCCTCCAGCTTCCCTGGAGGAAAATAAGAAAAAAAAAAAAAAAAAAGAGAGAATTATGCCAGAGTTCTGTTCTTAACAAGTCCTGCTCTAAGAAAGAAACTATTCTGCCAGGCAGAATAACCAGGTAAAATACCAAAGACTAAACCTCTTGTAGGGGAACATCAAACTCTAGTTCCTCCTAATTTTCCATGTGGCAGAAGAGAAATTCCCAACTCCAGCCTCCTCTATCCATCTTGTTCCTCCTAATTTTCCATGTGGCAGAAGAGAAATTCCCAACTCCAGCCTCCTCTATCCATCTTGTTCCTCCTAAGGGGGAGAAAAAAACCTGAAGTGCCTATGAAGTTCACAGTGCAAGAACTAATCAAGACTAAAACACATTTCCTTTCACCCCACGTATTATTACATATCTGAGGGGCTGCAGGAATTTTTAAAATTGTGATCAATATGCTAAATGTGTTATAGAAAAAGTAAAGAACACGTAAAACACGAGGCAAAACTGGAGCATTCATCAGAGACACGATATTGGAAATGGAAAACCAGTAAGGAGCAACTAGAATCTAACATCAGCGCACTGGATGTAATACAAACCACTTCATATACAAAGCATAATTAAGCTTCACACATGCCCATAATCCCAGCATTTGGGAAGCTGAGGCAGGAGGATCATTCCAAGTTCAAGACCAGCGTGGGCTACAAAGTAAACTCAAGGCCAGCCCAAACTGTATAGTGACATCATGTCTCAAAGACAAAAAAATGTAAAAAAAGAATTATACATTCTTCTCAATTTCAAGAGGAGCATGAACCAATATAGACCACATACTGGGCAGTATTAGTCCATTTGTTGCTGCTCTTCATATATAACAGCAATGAACAGGTAGAATTTTAAATTAAAAAATGTAACAGTTGCATTAGAATCTTCAAAAAATTAAATACTTTGTTATAAATTTAGCAAAATTTATTTAGGGGGAGAATTTTTGTTTTGGCTTTTGATTTTTTTAAGACAGGTTTTCACTGTGTGCTTCAGGCTGGCCTTGAACTCACTATGTAGCCCATGTTGGCCTCAAACTCATGGTGATCCTCTTGCCTTACACAGCTTTCTCATTGCTGGGATTACAAATGTGACCACACCCAGCTCAAACTTAACAAATCTACACAAGATATACATAAGAAAAATATACAAAACTTTACTGAAAAAATCAAAAATGGATATTCCATGTTCATGAACAGGAAGATTCAACACTGCCAAATGTCACATCTTCTTCCAAATCCCTATAAGTTTCAGATACTGACTAAAAGAATCTAAAGATTATAAAGAAATACAAAACACCCAAAATGGGACAATGTTGAGGGGGGGAAAAAGAAGCAAAAAGACTAATACAACTAGACTAATACAACTTCAAGACTTATTATACAGCCAGACTACATAACTATCAAGACAATATGTTGTTTACTAAAAATTGAACTCAAGACCTCATATTTGCCAGGCAGGTGCTATGCTGCTGAGCTATATCCCCTGCCCAGACAATATGGTTTTCATAAAAAGAATAAACAAGTCAATAAGGCAGAAGCCCACAAGTAGACCCAGATAGAGTGAGCTGATCTTTGGCAAAATAGCAAAGGAAATACAAAAGACTGAAAGATATTCTTTTTAGTAAATGATGCTGGACTAGCTAGACACCAACAAAACAAAACATAACATTCTAGACAAAAGGCCTAAAATCGTTCACAAAAATTAACCCAAAATGAATCAAAGACCTAAGTGCTAAATGTAGAAATATAAAACTACCAAAATATGAGCGAAAACTTAGACAACCTTCTTTGTTTTGTTTTGTTTTGTTTTTTGTGGTACTGGTGATTGAACTCAGGACCTTGAGCTTGCCAGGCCAGTGCTTATTCTGAGCTATCTCCCCGGCCCTAGATGACCCTTGATATGATGATTTTTTTTTGAGATGACATCAAGACTCAGTCCATGAAATAAACAAGTGATAATCTGAACTTCATTAAAATTAAATACTTCTGGGCCAAATGTGGTGTCACACACTTGTAATCCCAACACTGGGATGCTGAGGCAGAAGGACTGCTTTCAGTTCAAGGCAACCTGAACTACATAGCAAAAACTCTTGTCTCAAAAAACCAAAAAAACTAAATACTTCTGCCCTGCAAAGGACAATGTCAAGAGAATGAAAAGACACACCATACAATGGAAAAAAATATTTACAAAAAATGTATCAGACAAAAAGCTCCTACCAAAAAAAAAAAAAAAATTTAAAACCTCAAAATTGAAATAAATATGATTATACAATGGACAAAAGACTTTATCAGATACATTACCAAAGATGGCACACAGGGCCAGTCAAATAGCTCAGTGGATTAGGGGTTGGGAGTTTGATCCCCAGGGCCTGCAGTGCCAGTCCCTACCAGGGCACGCTGAGAGGGCAATTGAGACTGGGCATGATGGCACACACCTATAATCCCAGCACTTGGGAGGCTGTAAACAGGAGAATCATTACAAGTCTGATCTAGCAGTGAGACCCTGAACACCCCGTAAACCTTTCTCTAAAATACAGGGGGAAAAAAAAAAAAAAGACAGCATACAGATGCTAAGTGTTAGGTTAGGCCTGTGTTCCTGACACTACTGATGGTACTACAAGGAGGTAGCAAGAACTTTAGGATGAAAAACTTAGTTAGAGGCACATGCCTTTAAACAGTATATTTTGTCCTTTGTCTCATCACAGTTCCAGAAACAATGAAGCCCAGTGACCTCGGACTGAAACCTCTAAAAAAGTAAGCCAAAATAAATCTCTTCTCTGTTTAAATTCTTTATATCAGGTATTTTATCAGAGTGACAGAAAGGTAACTGATTAAGTAAGCACATGAAAAGATACTCTATTTCATGTATAGTAAGAAAATAGCAAATTAAAGCAATGATGAGATACCACTACACACCTGCTACAATGACCAAAATCCAAAACACTGGCAGCAGCAATTCTGGAAAAGATGCAGAGCAAGGCACATCTCTCATTCATGCTGGTATAAATACAAAATGACAGGGCCGGCGAGATAGCTCAGTAGACTAAGTGTCTGCTTAGGCAAGTGCAGGGACTGAGGTTTGATCCCAGCACTACACGCTGTGCCCCCAGGCATTCTAAGCCAGCTACCGAACCAAGCATGGTGGCATATGCCCGTAGTCCCAGCGCTGGAAAGGCTGAAAACAGGAAGATCACTACAAATCCAAGCTGCAGAGTGAAACCCTGTACTAAATACATTTTTTAAAAATTTCAAAATGACAAACTTGGTTGTATGCTAAAAACAAAACATGCTCTTAATGTGATCTAGCCATCATACTCCTTTGTATTTAGTGAAATGAACTGAAAGCTACATCAACAGAAAACTTGCACACAGAAGTCGCGATGGCTTAGATCCAAGTGTTCTTTGAAAGCCTCCAATGTTCAGAGGTGGAGTTTTTGGAAGTAGATTTGACCATGGTGGTATGGATTCCATCAGCAGGTTCATCCACAGAGGAGTTTAAAGCTAAAAGTTATTAGGAGGTGGGGCAAAGCTGGAGGTGGGTCCCTGGGGCAAGATGAAGAGGGTGTGTTCCCTGGCTTTTTTTCTTGTGGCTCTGCCTGCTCTCCACTGTGACATGAACAGCTTTCCTTCCCCATACACTTCCTGCCTGAGAGGCAGCTGACTACACACTAAATCCTGGGGGCCTGGCCCTAGCACAGTTCTTTAAGTGGCTGCTTCCACACTAAATCCTGTAAGAACCATGAACAAAAAAAAAAAAAAAACCCTCCTCCTGTAAGCTGTGGGTGTCAGGTGCCTTAGCAACAAGAAAGTGACTGAGACAGATGTTTATAGCAATCTTACTCGTAATTGCTAAAACTGGGGAACTCTTCCACAAAATGTCCATATGGCTCATTCTCTCACATCCTCTTTGTCTTTATAACAAACTGGAAGACATGTGGTGTTGTAGGTTCTGATATCTGAAACCAGTGGAGAATCCTGAAAAGAGCCCCTGAATGAAAGCGACAGCTGACTAGCACAAAAATCATTCGGAGCTAGGAAATTATACAACAAGAAGCCTACTTTTTCAAAAATATCTGTTTTTCTTATAAAAAGAAATGAAAATAAGACACAGAATACAGTGCTTTTATTTGGCAGTTTACCTATTTCGAGCCGGAGATTTCCCAGCATCCTCTTGAACAGACACAAGTCTTGTTGAAAGGGAGGAATTTGAGGAGTCTGGACGAATCAAACTACAAAGAAAATGGTAAAACACTGAGATCAGTTGGGATAGCAAGCGAGAAATCCTATTTCAATGAAACGTTTTAAAGTTTTAAAATCTTTTGCCTGTAACAACGAGGTTATGGGCCATTTTTGATCTTCCTGTAATTAAGGTGAAACATGCATAACTTTTAATCTTAAGTATACAAAACACCAAAAGAATGATAATAAAAGCTTGTAAGTATCTGAAATGTTGGATGGATGACTACAGAAATTGTTTATTTCTGTTTAAATACATCATTCACTTATTCCTCACTCCCTTAAAAGCTAATAAATTACTCTTCAGGAAAACATTAATTAAAACTTTTAAGTTCTTTGATATAGCCAAATGTGGTATTATACTTTAGAAAATTATTTAGCTGAATAAATAATCAGAAACTAATGAATCTAAGTTTTTAAGTTTTAAAAAGTCTAGGTAACTTCTGTGATAAGAATTCATAGTACCTTCCACTACCAGGCACTGTAGCATATTTAGAGATACAGAAAGCTAAGAGATGCCCTTTTAGAAAGAAAAAAAACTAATTTCATTTGAAACTGTTAATAAAAATCTTATGAGCATCTTCTTTCTCAAAGAAGACATGAGGAATTCTAAATCTCAATGACTTCTATTCTACTCAACAAATACTCTAGGATGAACACATGCCATGCACTGTTCTTGGTGCCAACAACAAAACCCAGAATAAGAAATTCTCTTTTCTCATGAAGCTTAGATTCACCTACTTAACATCATCACTGTTCATAAACATGTGTGATCATTCAGGAAGTGAGCCAAGGAAATAGGAGAAAATAGTGAATTTGCAGAGAACAAATAAAATAAATGTTAACCAAAAATATTCACAAGTCACAACCCTACCCATATTTCTCAAATAGAAGTAAAATTATATTCTAGTAATAGTACCTTTGCCAGCCTAAATCATCCTCTAAGAATATGTTACGACTGGCTTTTCTACTCCCAACAGGTGTTCGGGGTTCACTCGGATCAAGGAGAGACACAGAGCAAGCAGAATCTGAAAGAGCATTCAAGTCTTCCCCAATGGAATTACTGTCAGTGGAATAAGCATAACTTAGTGCTATTTTTCTACAGTATGTACAAGCTCGCAGGTCCCCTAGGAGAAAAAAATAAATAAAAAAGAAAGAACATTAAGTAAAATCAGTGATACATTACTCAACAAAATTATTTTAAATCTTTGGGTTAATAGGTAATATAACAGAAAGGCCTTCAAGGAAAGCCTACTAACAGACATTTTTAAAGGAGTAAAATAGGGGGCCTACCCCTTAGCTCAGCTCTTTAAGTGGCTGCTTCAGGCTCAGGTTGCTGTGGTTCGATTCCCACAACTCAAGCCAGCCAAACCTGCCCTGAAGGCATTTGGAGCAAAAAAAAAAAAACCCTTCTGCTTTAAAAAAATTTAAAAAAATAAAGGAGTAAAATATTATGATTGGTTCAGTTATCTATTTTAAGAATCATCATAATAAATTAATCCAGGCACCCAAATTCAAATGGAAAGTGAAAAAACCTTATGAGCATGTTCCTTCTCATAGAAAACATTAGAAATTCTAAATCTCAATGACTTCTATTGCCTATTCAACAAATACTCTCAGGACGGAAAAGTAAAAGAACGTGTGTTCTCTACATACACCAACTATTCACAGTGAATGTCATATCACATAGTGCAAACATGTACTACCAATAATAAAAATTTGCAAAAAAAACTTAAAAATTTGACCAGCTAGGTACAGTGATCCTAGCACTCTGCTGACTAAAACAGGATCAAGCTCAAATTCAAAGCCAGCCTGGGCTACATAGTGAGTTCAAGGTCAGCTTGAACAATGTAGCTAGATTCTGTCTCAAAAAAGAAAAAAAAAAGTTGACCAAAGAATACTAAACATTCTACTTTCAATAAAGCATATCAACAAAAATGTGATACAATTCATTTTTCCTAGACCTCAAGTAAAGAAGAAAATACCATTAAGGTCTCTATTATAGAGTCCTGAAGAATGGAGTCCTGAAGGGTGCAAAACTTTTTATACAGTATTAAAAGCAATGTAATATTACTACAAGTCCGATCTGTGTAGTGAGACCTTGTAGACCCTGCATTAATTATCTTTAAAAGAAAAAAAAAAAAAAAAAAGGATGTAATATATACAGATAAAAACTAAAGACATTCTTAAGAGTGAGTGAAATGAAATGTTATGGGCAGAACAAACAGGGTTACTTAATACTTCTAAATGTATTTTCAGGGATACAGTCCTACCCAAAGACAAGTTTTCATTTCTATCCTGTTTTTCCCAAACTTTTGTGTATGTGTTCATCTGTGTGCATGCCTTCATGTACTGGGGATTGAACCCAGAGCCCTACCCATTTAGCTCTAACCCTAGCCCACCACAAACACCTCCATACATATCCCAGACACTGAGCACTGGAGCACAGGGAGGTGGGTCACGCTCTGGTGGCCCTTGTGTTCCAAGCCTTCCAAATTCTAAACCACAGCAGCAAGAGGGAAGAACAAGACTGGGAGAGGGCTCAGGGTGCAGTACTCTAAGAAGACTGAGATCAGGCCTGAGACCTCACCAAGATCTGCTGTACAATTTCAAACATTTGGCCACTACAAAAGCAGATCATACAAAGTTACACGCCACATCATGAATTTTCAGTTAATGAATGGCCTGATAATAACTTTCCAGTTAATAATGGGCCTAAAAAAATCCTTATTGCCTAGTTGTAACTAATGTATTGTCATTAGTCACCTGTTCATGATGATGCGATATAAACAACCTATGCTCTACCAGTCCTATAAAATTATACCACACAGGCAGGCAACCCGGGCCCTGCGTGGTACCTCACTGCTTGCTCACTGTGGCAACATGCCACCATACCTGCTTCCTGTCAGGGTGACCAGCAGAGATCAAGAGCCTTTCAGAAAGCCTTTCAGAGAACCTAAGCCATGGAGGCCAAACAGTGGATGGCTCAGCAGAAGCATAGCAAAAACATTACCCACAAAGGAAATGTAGCTAAAACCCTGAAGCCACAAGAAGAAAAATATCCTATAGGAGCATGGCTGTTGGCACTATTTGTTTTTGTTGTCTGTGGCTCAGAAGGCCCAGACATCTGTCTCTGCACCCTCCCACTGGAGGGTAGAAGACCACGCAGGCCTTTGGCAGGTACCTGCTGGAAGCAAACAAAGTACAGAAGAGAAAGGAGGGAGAGACCCTCATTGTGGTTGATCACTTTGAGGAAATCAAACCAGACTGCCTTCTCACAGGACATCTCAGTGCTTCTGTGTTCCCAAGCAGAAAGGACATTCTGCTTTCCTGTTAGCCAGACTGTTAGCCAAACAGGTCATCTGCAGCAGCACGGTCTGCCTGGTTCTCTCCCTGACTTACACTAATGTGCACTTATGACCACGGAGTGACTACTGGTTTTCCATCTACTGATAAAATCTCTACTCTGTCAGAAACTGGTTTTACAAATAAATGTCTTCATTCAAGCTTAAAAAAAAAATTATACCATACACAATTATGTGTAGCATATAATACTTGACAGCGATAATACATGACTGCCTCTGGCTTATGCCTTCACTATCCTACCATTTCCATCATTATTTTAGAGTGTACTCTTTCTCCTTATAAAAAACAATAGTTTACTGTAAAACAGTGTATCATGCTATGTTGGCAACACCCTCACACAGGTCATGTTTACTCCATCTCTTGATTGATGAAGAGGTCATGTTGATAAGCAGAAGAATAAGGCAGCAGAAATGCTTAAGCCCACAACCTGGATCTCTGGGTACACAGCAAGATTCATTCTCAAAAATCCCCACCACGTTAAAAGCATTAACCAATACCATGTAGATTTGTGTAATATACTGTTTGTAGAAGGACAAAAGTGTTTAGTAACGTATATCTCAGAAATACATCAAAGGGGCCAGCCTGATAGCTCAGTGGACTAAAGCACCTGCTTAGGCAGAGCACAGTGGCTGGGGTTCAATCCCCAGCGTGCCGTGCCAGCCCTGCCCAGGAGACACGCTAAAACAGCAATGGAGATTGGGCATGGTGGCACATTCTTGTAATCCCAGCATTTGGGAAGCTGAAAACACGAAATCACTAGTAGTCCAATCTCTGTAGTGAGACCCTGTAGACCCTGTCCTAAATATAGAAAAAAAGAAAAGAAATACCCCATCACTGAGCAGAGTAAGACTAAGCTTTTCTAATAAGTTAGCAATGTAACCTAATTATTTTTACCATTAATATTAAAAATTTAATTGACACTAGAGTTTCTAAAACTTCACTGCACTGTGGTGTTATGGTTTTGTTTCTAGGTGTCCCCCCAAAGCCTCATGTAGTCTTGGGGTGACTTCTGGAGTTTGTAATTGATTACTGTGGGTGTGGTTGCTGCACCTGCCTGGGGCAGGTAATTTGCATTACAATGTAAGGTGGGAAGAGAAGCTAGCTGCTTGAGCTGCGGCTACCCCTCCCCTTGTGCTCTAGCTCTTTGCTGCTGCCCTCTGCTATGTGCTGCTCTGCCTTGGAGCCAGCTGAGTGTGGACTGAAACCTCCAGTAACTGTGAGGTAAATAAACCTTTCCTTCCTTCATTTTGAGTGTTGGGTATTTGTCCCAGCAACAAGAGAAGAGTAACTAAGACATATGGTCTTATCACAATACAAGTATAATAAATTGCCTTTTATTCATTAAGACAAATAAAATACCTTTTAACTTATATAAGTATTCTAATTAGAATAAAATGTAGCTTCTTAAATTATTAATTTCCAGTTCCACAAATTAAAAGACAGTATCTATCAAAACCTAAAGAAAAAAAATATACCCACTTCAATCAGGACCTAAACAGCATCTTAAAAAAAACATTAACTCCAATCAAAGTACTAGAATAACCAACCAAAGTAGAATTACAGTAAGGAAGTAAAGTTACTACCTAAAGAAAACTTACCATAACAAAGGTTTCCTTTTTTCTTGCATCACAATCTCCCTTAAACAGTCAGCTATTAGAACTAAAATTGTCTAATCAATGTAGGCTAACTGTTTTACCTGATCACAAGTTTTCATTTCATGAAACATTCATTAGCAAGGGTCTAATGAACATATTCAAGTATTATACAATGGGAATACAAAGACTAATAGAGTCCTGCTCTCAGAGAACCACAGTTTATAGCAGGCAACAGACACATCCATAATTTTTAAAGTTGCATGACAAATGCAGACACATTACTGCTACTAACCCCATTACTGCTACTAATAACAGCTTCGTATTTATCGAATCTTTTCTACTGGAAGCATTCTTCTGGGCATTTCATTTCTTCAAGGTCTCAATGTGTAACTGTGCCCAGCACATATTATCTCATTTGAGGTGGTTATTACTTTGTGTAAACGTGACTAGATAAGCTGTTTGGTCAAAAAACATAGCTAAAGTTTTTTTTGTTTTTTGAGGTTTTTTTTGGTGTGATTAACATTTATTACCAGTTGATTCTAAGTAAAGCAAATTACCCTTCATAACATGAGTCTTAATCTGAAGGCCTTAAGGACAAAGTTTACAAAAAAAAAAAAAAAAAAATTCCAATACTATAAAACAGAAGTTCTGAAGAAATTTCCAGCCGACTGGCCTGCCACTGCAATCACTTGAATTAATTCCTTGAGATATATGTAAATACCCACCTCCCATATGTGTGTAGAAGGCACCTATGTGTGCATACATGCCTTGTGCACGTGTACACACACACATACACACACACATGGATAGATAGGTCCTTATGTGCATGGCTTGTTTCCCTGAAGAACTTGAACAGAGATTTTGGTACCAAGAATGGTCCTGAAACAACAGAATTTTAAGATAAATTTTCTGTCAATGGACAGGCGCAGGGACCAGGGTTTGATCACCAGTGTGCCACATCAGGCCCACCCCTGGGGTATGCTGAGACAGCAATTGAGACTGGGTGTGGTGGCACACGCCTGTAATCCCAGCCATTGAGGAGGCTGAAAAGAGGCTCACTGAGTCCAATCTGTGTAGACAGACCTTGTAGCCCCTGTACTAAACACATTAAAAAAAAAAGAAAGATAAATTTTATGAATTACTCTTTAATTTCTGTAATCAGTTCT